TGTCAATTAAATTTATGTGAAATATATCATCTATGTTTTATTGGTGAAATTGGTCTCAAACTTCCAGCAACTAATATTCAATGTCATCCAATTCAAGTCATCGGTTCTAGTACAGTTTTATTTTCTATTTAACTTTAACAAAATTCTCATCATTTTATTTCTTTTTTTTTTTTGTTGAAGAAAGTGAATGTATCAAAGCTGCTAATCAATATAATTATAGTCAACCACATAATCGTCAATCTAATATAACAAAACCAATCGAAATGAAATCATCTGTAGAATCACAATCTCCAAAATGGCTTTCAATTTTTCTCGCTCATCTTGCTTTTCTTTTCGTTGGTATTATTGCATATTGTAGTTGTAAACAAATGTTATTATTATTTTATAATCGTTCATTTCGTAAGTGTTCGAGTAGAAAACGAAGTCGAACAATGAGTGAATCCTCACCAGTTGTTGTACGACATAGCATAAAATCAACGGAACCATTATTACATAAACATGAAAATATTCCATCAAAAAAAGAAAAATATCGAACACAACATTTACGATTAGGATCAGTTGATCATCCAAATAAACAAATTTAAATATTTTAAGCATTGTAAAACTATACTCGAATAAATAATGTATGAAAATATTGACTCTTACTGTTAAAAAGAACTAAAGAAATGTCATATGATCAGCGATTAGAACAAATTATAAATTAACTAACTTCTCAACAGTTCATTCGATAATGTAAAACGACAATAGGTCAAGTGTTCTCTTTATTTTAGTTCATTCCTCACTATTTACAAATCATATTGTATTACGTCAGTCATACATATACAAATGTGGTAGATGTAAAGTATTATATTTTTCATAATAATCTATTAGTAAGTTCATCGACAATATTGCAACGAACATTTTCTTTTGATTAGAAATGTTGTAATTTACATTTTTAGTTATGATATTCAATAATTGATTTTTTTTTAATTAAAAGTTACATTATATGAATGACACATATCTTACGAAGCACGTCTAATTTTTATGAACTATTTAGTTTTATTTCTCTATAAATTTTCTTTTCAAAACGTCGATTGTAGCGTTATTATATAACTATCACCAATCAAGTGACAGTATCAGAAGTATTTTATAACAAGTAACTTTGAATTCTTTTTCACTTTGTCCATCATACATATATATACCAAAGAAAAATCGTCTATTTGTTATATTGATTCTTTTAAATGGCACGTATTTAATTTTCCCTTTCGATATCATAGATACGATTATGTGCAATTCTTTTAAGAATTATTAGCTGAATCTATGTCATTTTTATTCTTTTCTTTCCTCAATTCTCACTTTCTTTTTTTATATTCCGACATACAAACATCTTTCTCTTACTTGTGATTCAATCCTCTTCTTTTTTTTCAAGGATGGACGGGCACATTGTCAGTCTCGACAACATTAAACGTTTTCTTTTCCTTACTAGAAATAGTATTTTTCTTTGCACATTCTTCTTCCTTTTTTTTGCCATTAAAAAAGAAGAGAATAGGCATTCAAAAGTTGATTGATAAATAAAGAAAAATTGAGGAAAACAGTATTATGAACGACGAATTGCTATCAATGGATAATTGTGTATTATTATCGCGTGATCCTCTACTTATGACAAGGTAAGACCATGATTCAATGAATGAACTATTAATTAAACAGTTATATTTTTTTGTTCATTATTCTCGATTTTAAACACAATACGTAAAAAACAGAAAGATTAGAATCGTAATTACAGGATCGATAGTATTATTCAATTATATTATAAAGTCTGAATTAAATAGAGAACTGATTAGAAATTCTCTTTCTTTTTATATTTGTAAAAAACATTTATAATATATTCTCGACTTTTTTCTTCTTCTCCTGTGTGTAAAACCTCGTCTGACTACATACTTATTTATAGTACTCGACATATTTTACTTGCAAGTATACTCATATCTTTTATGATACCTATCTTTTTATTTTCCTGTGTCAATATAATAGAAACGAGAGAAAAAAAACTGCATTCAGAAAGATAAGCATAATTTCGTCATTTTTCTTTTAACTTCATTCTTTTATAGATCAATGGACGTCGCAAACGATTCATCATTTGATATTGATCAAGTATCAAATATTGTTGAACAAGCAGTTGAACGAGTTATTGGTGCTAATTCATATCAACAGAACAAAATTAATCGTTGGACTGTCGATGTTGTTGATCAAACTTTGACTGATTTAACTGGTTTACAAAAACCATTTAAATATATTGTTCAAGCAGTAAGTTATTCTATTATATTGAATACCAACTGCTTATTATTATATTTTAAATAGGTGATAATGCAAAAAAATGGAGCAGGTTTACATACAGCCAGTTCTTGCTATTGGAATAATACAACTGATGGTAGTTGTACAGTTCGGTAAAACAAAAATTATGATTTGTTCATAAAATATTTATTTTATTTTATTTTATTTATTTTTTCTAGTTGGGAAAATAAACATGTTTATGCCATTGTTTCCGTTTTTGGTTTATCTACTTAAATAAACATATATATCGTATTTTTTATCCATGGATTTTAGTCTTCTCTTTTTTTCCTTTATCTAATAAACCAAATCGAATAATTTAATGTTTATGGATATGTGATCGTGAATGTTTTTTCTTTTTTGTCCTATGAAATAAATATTTTTAATTTGTAGAAAGATAATAAATATGTGTGGTCGTTTTGCTTGTGGTTTATCTCCTGATGTTGTACGTCGTCTTTCGACTTACATGCATTCTCAAACAAATGAAAAAATTATACCACCATTTATTGATTTAATGCCATTAACACGATCTTTTCGACCAAATTGGAATTTATCTCCAACTTCTACTTGGTATAAATGAATTTATTTCTTAAATAAAATATTTTTTTTTCGAAATTTAGTCTTTGTTTAATTTCGGCCAAACATCTAGATGAAACCGAGGATTCATCAACAAGAGCTCTCTGTTCAATGCGTTGGTCTCTTGTTCCACATTATTTTAAAGGCAATATATCGGAATTTAAACCAGTTTTAAATAATTGTCGATCAGAAACTATTGATGAAAAACCTACATTTAAACGACCATTAAGAAATGGTCAACGATGTGTTGTGCTTGCTGAAGGGTAATTTGTTTATTTACTTTACAAAAAAAAATAACATTTCCATCTATTAGATTCTTCGAATGGAAGAAGAATGTATCAAAAATGCCTTATTTCATCTATCAATCACAACCATTTCTTAATGAAAAACGTTATCCAAATATTAATGTTGACAAAGTTCTTGAAAATAATGAAAATAAATTACCATTGTTGGCTATGGCTGGTCTTTTTGATATTAACCGAAATTGCGAAGTATAGATATATATATTTAAAAATATGTCAATTAATTATTTTCTTATTAAAATAGAATGAACCATTATATTCATGTACAATATGTACAGTCAATGCTAGTGAACCAATGCAAACTGTACATGTTCGAATGCCGGTAAGTTAAAAAAAATATTTTAAATCTTAGCTTTTAAAAAATAATCTACAGGCTATTCTATCAAGTCAACAAGAAATCGATGAATGGCTTGATTTTGGTCGATATAAAACTGAAGAAGTAAATACTCAGTTTTTCAATAAGAAAATAAAATTTAATTTTTTTCAGGTTATTCCATTACTTGTGCCACATGATGATATTCAAATGTATCGAGTAACACCAAATGTAGGTTCAACAAGAGTAAATAATATGCATAATATTCGACCGATGAATATCGATAAAGAAAAGTAAGAAATTAATTTATTGTAAAATTAATTAATTTATTCAATTGTAGTAAAACATTATCAAACAATTTGAATACACTTGATTCATTTGTAATTAAAAAAGCACCAAGTAAATATTTTGATGATCATGTATTAAAAGATGAAAGTAATAAACCATTATCTCATAAACGTACACAAGGAGCAATTGATGATTATATGTATAAAGAATCGAAACCATCTGTAAAACGATTTAAAAAATAGATCTTTCTCTTTTTTTTATTTTTTTATTTTATTTACGTTTTATTTTATTGTAAAGTATTTATCAGATACTACATTTTTGTCAGATGAAAATACTTTAATTATCTAGTCAAGATGAAAAAGTAACCTTTTTTATGATGTATTTTTTCATTGAAACACACAATGTTATCTTAGATGTTATTTTCTTGTTTTTTTATTACATAAATACATTCTCGATTGTATGAATACTTTGTATGCGTTATTTATATCTCGAAAAGAATACAACAACAAAAAACCAAGTATTTTATTATGACGGCATTCTTTCTCTTTCTCTCTAATCAATTATTCAATTCCATATGAAATATGTATATACACAAGTCTAAAAAGTACCGAAACTTCTTTTTATAATAATCTTTCCTCAAATCAATTTATTAAGAAATTTCTTGTTGTCGTTTTCAGTTAGTAACTGTCATCGATGTAATAGTGGTCATGTAACAAGTGTCGCTGCACTAAATCAAAACAATAATAGAAATCTTGCTACTAGATAAAAACAATATTATTCGAATATTTCAGACGCTAGACTTTTTTTTTCAAATTCATTCTTACCTTTTAATCTTACTTAAAACATCTTCTGTTTATCTTTGAATTTGTTTAGCACTTTTACAATGTTTACTGATCAAAATGATTTACTGCATTGGAAAGCTCGGTTACGAAACGATTTCTAAGGAAAATTGATGGTGCTCTATAGAAAAATACTTTCCAGCTGATTATTGATCGACAAGCAGATGGTTGAGAACATGTATTGCCTTGTGCATCTTCCTTTGTTTTATCAATCTGTGGCCTATGTTCGAAACTTCAACGTTTCTATTCTTTACGAAAGAGGTTACAATAAAAATTGTTGTTGGATATAGCAAGAATTATTCAATTTCTAATTAATTTTCTTTTGTTTCAAAATTCAAGATACACGAAAACGAACAAAAAAAGTAAAAAAACAAAATCAAGTTCATTCAGCGTGCCTCATTGAAGTCAACATAAAAACCATGTTTATTGAGTATGCACTATCGATGTCAACATAAGGATAGTGGGCGATGTGGGGTTATAATCGGTGCTAATTAATTCTCGAAAACTAATATATTCATGGGAATTGATTGATTAAATGATCGGGCCAAAACTTCGCTTACTAATATATTCATTAATCACATTTTTTGACAATGGTATTTGTGTGCCGTTTGCTGATATAATTAAGAATAGAATTGGTGGAGTTAGTCGTGGCTTGCTGATATGTAGTTCTTCGTTTAGTAATAAAGTTTTGTTAAATTCCCAGCATCGATATCTTTCCCATCAGAGTATGAACGAAACATAATTAACTTCGGTGTACTTTTTTGTATACCACTGGCATCATTATTAATTATTCGCCTCATATTTATTCCATGTGTGATCTCATGAGCTAAAACCACGGATAAAAAAATTATTCCAGTAGATTTACAAATCACGTCGAGATTATCTATATCACATAAAAATAAAAAGAAGTTACTCAACAAATAACTAGCTAGAAGAGATTAATCATTTTCCTATGAATAATCACTTTAGAGAAAGGTAATACAGTTCTTTTACCTTGCTTTTATCGATTAACATCGAATATTTGTTGATTCAAAAATATGGTCGAGACGTTACCGACTATCTTTGCTGCAGCACATTCTTCATTGAAGTTAAACATCTTCTCTGCTAGACCATCTACACGGAATTCAGCATTTATTGGGAATTTTAATTATGTTGGATGCGGAATACTGATTTCAAAAGTTGAGATTAGGTTACCCAGGTCGAGCAATCCAGCACGGAAACGACTGGTTCCGTGGTATTCCGGAGATTTCATGGAATCTTGCTTCAAGAACCATCTTTCTGGGTACTTAATGTTGTGCATACATCGCCTAAATCATGATTGTTTGTCGGTGAAGCACATAGCAGTTCTAAACGCCTTGATGTTGTTATTGATGTCGTTAACTGATCGTACACACCATTAAAAATATTATACCAAATATATATTATTCGTAAGTGATCACGACAGAGAATATCAATCAGCAGTAGTCGAGCTTCATCAATCCATTTCCTCAGTCGATTTCGATCATTAGTTGCGAATAATCTATCAATATTGATGCGTTGAAATTCAAATGTAAATTCAGAAAACTCATTAGTTGAAGACAATGACATTCTCTGTCTATATTCACAGACAAATCGTTAATAAACTGATCATAAATAGATATAGATAGAAAAAAGAAAAGGTATATCAGTTCAATTGATGAACATAATCACTTAGATAACGTTATCAGAGATATGTTGTCAATCGATAGAAGTAAGCGCTGTATGACATAGAATTAGAGGTGAATATCGATCGCGCATTATGTAATCGGTTTGACGAAAATACATGACGGATTTGATAAAATATCCGCTGGAATATAAACCGCATCTATGAATGATTGATGAAGAGTATTGAATAAGATCAATCGAACTTGATTGATAAGTTATGAAAGAAATTTTGTCTGAAAAGGGTACTCACATATTTGTTATCCATTAAGATGATTATTTAGGAAACAAGGAACGCTCGTCTTGGGACCTGCTCAGCTCTTTTTCGTAGAAACGATGTGTCTTAACTATCAGTAAACTGTTTAATCAAACAATTTCAAAAAAACGACTTCGGATTGAAGTTCCTCGACCTCGATTACCTTTTAGTCAACTTCGATAGAAAAAAATTCCTTTTATATCATTAACTAAGTCTTGGACCAATCAGTGAAGTGCAGATATACAAGCAATCAAGCAAGACACAGCAAACAATTTATTTCTGCTAGACTTCTCTACGAGAAAGAGAATAAATTGTAATCGATTATAATCTACAAAATGCACTAGTCAGTTTGGTTGACTAAAAATAAATCTATTTTATAGAGAAAAAAAAACAATTAATGGTACATTCAGAATAAACCATCTTTAGATTTTTGTGCTAATTTATTTGATGATACTGTAGTTGTTTGAAGATGATTATTATCATTAAGTAACGATTGTTCAACATTCGAGGAATGATCATTATCTATTAAGTCTAGTCTTGCTTTACGACAACCAACTAAATGACATATTAAACCAGCAATAAATATAATGGCAAACATAATAGCAATACCAAATAAAGTTAATGCCCAAACAGGCATAAAACCATGAAAGAATTTATCTTCATCACGATTATTTGTATTTACTTCACGATTAATCATATGCATTGATTGGCAACTATTTTTTGATTGATAATGAAAAATTTTCTCATATGACTCATTTAAATGTGTTTGATAATGAGAAATGAATGTACCTAAAAGAAAGAAATGAATCGCATGTGTTTATTGAATTATTTTATATAATACAATGAATTTCTTGAATGATTTCCATTGTACATATTGTCGAATAAATATCTCCAAGTAATTGTCCGCGTATATTTCCTGAAATTAAACGATTATACACATCATTATTAAATCCTGGAAAAGCCCATTCATTGGCATTTTGTTCCAATAAATCATTTAATTTATTTTCTTCAATATCACTTGTACAATTCATTGGATTAATTATAACATGAACAATAGCATCAAAATCTGTTGATATACGTATTTGATGAAGAAGATACAGATGAATTTGAGATTTTATTGAATTCGATAAAAGATAACTAATATAACGTAATGGTTGATAAAGTTCAGTATTTGATGATGAATTTAGTTGAGTAATAGTTAAAAATGGTGGATTAATATTCATTGTTATATTACCAAGATATTTTTTATTATCATCTATATATAATTTTGTTTGAAATGATGATATATTTCCATTAATTAAATTATTTAACGATAATTGATATGATTCAATTGTCCAATATTTATTTCTTTTAGTTAGACTTGTTGATAATAATGTTGAATTACTTATTCGTGCTAGAAAAACAAGTTGATAATCTATTAAAGTATGAAACATTGGTTTGTATGATATCCATACATAATCTAGTCTATCAAGTGGTATTAATATAAATTTATGATTTGAGATATATTTATTCGCTGGTAATAATGGTAATTCTGATGGTTTTGGATCAATAATAAATGCATCATAATATGCTCTATGTCGTTTATGAAATCCATTTTTCCATTGATATTGTAATTCATAATTCAATTGTTCTAATTGTTCTAATGACATATTTAATTCACGTTCATTTGGTTGATATGTAGATCCAATTGGATAATCAATTTGATTTGTTTTTGTTATTTCAATATGAGTACCAAGAATACCAGTAAGATTCAAATGATTTGATTTAATAAAATTTGTTAAACGTAATATTGATTGAACATTAGCAGTAAAATTTGAAATATATAAACGTCCTGGATAAAATGAATCACCTGTTAATAATAAACCAGTAATACAATCATAAAAAGCAATCGATGATTTTTCATGTCCAGGAATAGGTATAATAGCTAAATGACGTTGATTACTCAGTTTATATCTACTTATAGAATGTGGCCAGTTCTTTAATCGAAAAAATCGACTAACATCATCAACAGTTGTACCAACTACAATAGTAAATGGTTTCGATTGAAATTGTTTATCTCCAGCTGTATGATCATCATGATTATGTGTATGTGCAACAATTAATTTTATATCTTTACGTTGTTTTTTCTGTTTAATACACCATTGTAAAATAATATTTTCAACATGTTGTTGAATTGGAAATGATGTAGATGATACTGTTGCACCACTATCAATTAATAATACTGTATTATTACCGAAAAGAAGATACATAAATGGTGCTTCATAATTAATACATTTATTTTCTCGAAGAATAAATGTATCATTATCTATAGGATATATATCTAAATCAGGTTGTTGTTGAGCATCTTTACTAAAACAATTAATTGATCCGTGTAACCAATTTGTTGGTATTTTTATTGAACGATTAAATAAACTATTATTAGGACAATCAAATCGAGCGTTTATACCGACAATTGTTATGAATAAGAAGAAAAATTGCATAGTTCTTTCTTTTTTATCGTTATAAATGAATAAAAAAATGAATAGTAACAATAGTAGCCTAGATTGATTATCGTCATCTGTGTAGATTCTCATAAAATATTTGAAGTAGGTAATTATTCTCTTTTCTATTCTGATTTTATTTGTTAGACTATCAAAAAAAAAGACGAATGATTATAATAGGAAATAGAACAACTGATATGAATTAATTTTTTAATTTTTAGCGTAAATATCACTAATTTGAACAAAATTGGCGATAACTATTCATGTGCACTTTGCTAGATTCCGAAGAATTCTTTTCATCTTTTTTTGTTGCTGATGACTATATTAATGCTCTCAAATAAAAAGAGAAGAACAAGTGAAGTTTATTCTTTTTTTTCACCATTTTATTTGTCGTAAAACTTATAAATAATTGTTTAGATCGAATGTTGCTTACTCTCGTTCAGTAGATGAAGGACGACAAATGTATACAAAAAATTTTATCGATAACAAATGTGTAATTTTAATTAATTGTCTACTTTGAGAAAATAATTTTGTAGATACAAGTAAGATATATGAATGAACTATCACATTAGAATTAAGAGTCTAAAAATACTACCGATTTTGTATTTTAATAATTAGTTTCTATTTTTTTCTCTAATGTCTGATAGAATTGCTCTTTTTTTTTGTAACTCAAAACCGATGTGCAACTGTTAACAAGAGTTTGTCTAATAAACAACCTACGCGCTATGAAAACAAAGAATATATTCTTATGAATGTAAGAATTCCAGAGTGTTATATTTTTCGGTTGAATCTTTACATGTATTATTTGGTAAGATTATTATAATTTTCTTAACTAAATTTGAATCTGCATTGTCTCCTTGCTAAAGTCTATATCATTTTTAGAACGATGTTACCGAATATATCACAATCGCTTACTGCTGTTGATGTACATCATATGAATAGAACAAATATTAACACAAGAAATTATCTTTTATTTAAACCATCACCATCATTCACATTCAGTCATGATTTACGTTTATTTGTAACAGGTCAAATTCCTTCAAATACCATATCGTCTTCCTCTCGCATATCAACAAATACTTCAATGCTAAAACGACGAAATAATATACATAAGAAAAATCATAAACAAACAAATAATAATAATATTTATGAATCTCTTGTTCGATCTATAGCACGTTGTTTACCATCAACTGAACGTGATATATTACATGATAATATAACACTTCTTTCAGATTCATTTACTAGTATTCCAATATCTTTATTACCAAATAATGGTTCAGTTCATTCGCATAACATATCGAAAATACAAACATATAATATTAATTCTAATAATAAACAAAAATCAAATAGAAACATAACAACGGATTATAAAGCTTTATTATCATCATCAGCAGATACTCTTAATCGTGTAATATCAAATCATCAATATAATGAAAAGGATAATAATAGAATAATTACAAAATTACCACGTTTGCCAAAAATTCCAACTCGAAAACAATTACATGTTTATATACCACAAGTAACTTATTAATTGTATCTATGTTTGTAAATTTATATTTTCTTTAATTATAATGTAAAAAAAAAACAAGAATGAAACTATTTTTTGTTTGTGATTATTCATTTGAATATATACATTTCCTTCCTTTTCTTTTCCATTTGATAACTAATTATTATATGAAGTACAGTGTTACTTCTTATATATCATTGTCATAAGCAATTATAGTTTTCAAAGTTTAATTTTATTAATAATTTGTCTATGATAGGCTTTTTACTCGTTAGTTATAATGAATCTAAATCTTTTTTTTATTCATGCAGAAACAACCATTTAAAAACCAAATTATCATTAATATTTTTTGAAATATAAAACCAAATGTTGCTTTTCTACTTGCATATCATATATGATTAACATATAATTAACAACTGTCCTAACATATTATCTTAACATCTCTTTTCTTTCATATTAGAAAAATCCTGGATTTTCTATTTTGTAAAGATATATACAGTCGAATACTTGTCATATATAACAACAATAAACATTATTTATCATACTATAAGATAACTTGCTTATTTATTTTCTTTCTCTTTTTTTCTGGTTAATAAAGAAAACAAAGCAAAATATTAATGATTATAATTAAAATATCTAATTGTTTTAATATTAACCAAAAAATGCATCCCAATGATGTTTTCGACCAAATGATTGACGTTTAGCTGGAGTAAAATCACTTATTAGATTTGATTGACTAAGAAAAGATGTTGGTGGAAATATAAAATTAGCTGCTCGTTGTGCTACATATATTTCATCACTATTGTCATCATGTTCTTGTTCATTACTTTCATTTATTTCTATTAATGATATAAAACGATCATCAATTGCCATTGAAGAGCAAATTTGTATTATAATAAAACATGATACTAAACAGATCAAAACAAAATTAAAAAGAACTTGATTAAAAAGAAATATTAACTGACCAATAAAAGATAATAAATAGAAATTTGAAACCATGATGATATTGAATTCTTGTTATTATAAATGATTTATTTGTTACCGTTCTTATTATTAAATCAAAAAAAGAAGAGGAGATGGATGTATAGAATGGATTTATGTCGAACTAATTAAATGGTTTTTTTTATCTGATCTATTCCTATAAGAAAAATTAGAGATTAATTTTTGTTATTATTGATCACGGCATCTATTCTTTTTTCTTCTTCTTGATGATTGTCTTCTGTTTTGTTGTTTTCTCTTTTGTTCAATAATCTCAAAAAAAAGAAACATGACTAACTTATGATATTTTACTGATACAATACTATAAATTAGCTTACTTAGAGAGAATATATGATCGTGCATGTCACACACTTAACCTTGTCGTCGTATTATATTGATAGTCATTATTTATGTAAAAAGTGTATATAAACAAAGACTATATCTATAATAGATTATAGGAAAACCTTGAAGATTTTCTTACAAAGAACATAAGAACTATAAAAATCAACTTGCTTAAATCGATACTTAATAATAAAAAAACAATACTCGAAAATATGATTTATAACGATCAATATTCGAACTAGAACGAATAATTCTGTTTAAATAATAACTGTAAAGATTTAACTTGAAATAAATTCAATAATATGTCATGTTATAGAGAAAACTCGTTTTAACGTTATATCAAACATTAAATAGATAGCATCTCCAAAATATCGATTACATAATATTTAACCAACAACAACTTTATATAAGAGAATAAGCAAGTAAAACTATCCCAGTAAAGACTGCGCATTTACTTACAACTATGAATATGATTTCTATGTTGCTATATTTTATATAATATTTATTCACTTCTTTTAACAAACAGGAATAGATACTGTCAAATATGTGACTTTAATAGTATGATATAATGCTTATTTAATGTATATTGATATGTATCGATAGAATCTATGTTTTCATTGGTATAATGTTTGTATCTTTACCAATGATTTATTACCAGTATTACTACCAGATGTATAATAATGTAATTGTTGTGTTTTGATTGTTAGCACGAAATGAATCATTGTGATATTATTCATTTGTTATTCTATATTCATCTACGAATTTTTGTTTAAATCCCACATTTTTTTGAAATTATTTTAGTGTGAAACACTTGTGCAAAAAATAAGAATAAAATGATAAAATAAGGAAACACAAGTGAAATGCGTTATTTATACATATGTACGGACTAAAGCAATAGTTGATGAAAAATAGAAGACATGCAACATTATGAATTAATTCTGTGAAATTACACAAAACGAAACGTAGAGAAAAAGAAAAAGAAAAAAAAACGTAATTTAGTCATATGTTAGGAATTATTGTTTTCATCATATCAAGAAAAAATATGTTTAGTTCTTATTTTTCCATATCTTTTCGGACTCGATAACCACGATAAGCAGCCTAAGATTAAAAGAAATAGAATAATATAATTTCAAAGAAATGAATTTTTGTTTTACTTGAATTTTAACAGCTGCGGCACTATCATCTTCTTCACCTTCTGGCTCTTTGTTTCCTTCAACTGACGATGATAAAACTAGAAAATAAACAAATAAGAATTAGATATAAGAATTTTTGTATTTTACTTTTATTATGAGAATTATCATATTCATCATGTCCATGTGAAGATGTTGATGTTGGATGTTGATCATTAGTACCACCTGTAACTAATTCTTTACGAGTTTTATATCCTCGAAATGATGCTTGAATACGTGTAGCTGCTTTTTCAAGATTTGGATCACTCATATCGATATCGTCGTCTTCTTCGTTAAGATTTGAACGTTGTTCTCGATCGAAATCGGAATCACGTGGAACTTGTGTATGTCGTTCAAAATCTTCACTTAATTGTGTTGGTTCACGTTCAAGACGAGGACGATCAGTATCGTTGTGTTCACCTTTTAAAAAATATATATTAATTATATAAGATCGATCTATACAATTTATTCAATCGATCATAAAAAATATACAGCTCGTACTGTCAAATGTCAATGATATTCTATTCGTTGGCCTATATATATATATATCCCTTATTTTTTTTCTACACTAAAGCGAATGTCAGATACAGTACAGTATTTGATACACTATGCATGATGCAGATGATCAAAGCTTCAATCCATATTTTTTGACAGACAATTATATAAATAGAAAATTATACGTTGTGTATTTCCCTAATGATGTCTTAGTATTAGCGAAAAAGATATGAAAAGAAATATCGACGTCATACATAAATTCCCTAATGACAAAAGATTATCATCATACGAAACGCGTATATGTATTTCTAAATAACTAAGAAAAAGAAGAAGAAAAAAAATAATATTTGATGATTTTCAATTATTTTATCTCCATAATATAAATATTAACATGCATGATTGAAATGACTTACTCGAGTATGATTTTATAAAATGTTTATATACACAAATTTTGTATGAGAAACGATTTTTTTGTTTTGTCTATCTGTCTGTATGGATATCTATCGAATGCATAAGAGATACAAACAATATCTACTGCTGATGGTTTGTACTTGTATTTGCCTGATATTCTCTTCTTCTTTTTTTCTTTCCTTCTCTCTATCGATAAGCTAAACTGTCGCATTTCTTTATCCGTAGGCAAAATCTTCTCTCAGCGACGATAACATATTAGGAGAAAAAAATTGTAGCCATGTAACTGGTAATAGTGAACTGTTTCTTTTATACTGAGATATAATACTATACCACGTTATATGCAAGAAAAGAACAGAAATGATAATGTACTATAATTTCCATATATAGACATTTGTATAAAACAGAAAATCATCTAAACTTACCAGTCTCAGTTTGATGAGTATGTTTAGTATCATGTCCATGTTCATTATCGTGTTTTTCACTTTGATGATGTGATGTTTTATCATTGTGAGAATCCTTAAAATAATTCAATTTTTCAGTAAGTTATAATTATTAAAAAAAAACAATAAGATATATACATGATGTTCTGGTCGATCAGATAATTGTTCACGTTCACTAGTAGCACTACCAGGTGATGCATGTCCTTGATTACCACTTTGTTGTCGACCCTTATGACCACGAAATCGTGCCTAATATAAAATGATATATGTTTGAAGAAAAAAATCAAACTATGAATTAAAAATCAAACTTGAATAGATCTTGCAGCACGATCTTGTTCCTGTTTTTCTTCTTCAGTAAGTTCGGCATCGAATTGTTGATCTTCTTCTACTGGAGTAGCCTAGAAAAAAAAAGAATCGAATTAAAATTATTTTAAACATAAGTTAATAGTTTACTTTGTGTTCAGGAGTATGTTGTTCTGCATGTGGTGTTGGTGTATGTGGTGATTTCTAAATAATATTTATAAAAGATAACAAATCTTATCTTCTTTCTATTATTTAAAATTACTTGATTATCATGATGGAATGATTGATGTTCATCTTCCTTTGGTGTTCCTGATTGTCCACGATCATAACCTAATTCTTGTTGATCTGTATCAATCACATCTTTATTCTAAAATAAAAGTTTCGAGATTAATTTAAATAGATTATATAACTCGAATATTACTTGTTTCATTTTTTCAACATCTTGTCGGGCTTTATGACCACGGAATTTTGCTTGAATTTTTGTTGCTGCATTATTAACTTCGGGATCATTGACCGGATATTCTTCCTAAGATAATATATATATAAGATAATTTAATAATTTCTTCTGCTCAAATCAATTCACATACTTGAAAACCTTGATTATTATAATAACGATCTTCGAGTGTAGTTTGTTTATCAGGTAAATAAGATTCACCTTGCTCTAAATGATACATAAGACGTTAAAAATAATAATGAATACTCGAATGATTTTTTATCTAATTTAATTTATTTCCAAAGAAATCAATCAAACGAAAAGTAAAATTAATCTACTATATTTCCGTACATTACAAAAAGCCGAGAATATTTCAACCAAAATAACTATATATAGAAACAAGATATGACTTTTCAACTAAATATAAACAGTTCGATACACATTTAATCAATTAGTACTTTCTCCAATGATAAAATGCTTTCACGCTTATGAATAGACAGGATATGTGTAAAACGAAAGAATAAGTACTGTGTAATTATTTGAATAGCGGAAGAATTTAAAAGAAGAAAAAAAAGTTACTAATCTACAGTTTTTCAAAACCTTTCATATTTACATCATATGTAAATAGTTATTGAAAAATGATTTATTTATAATGAACATTTATTATAGTGTATTGCGTGAGTTGGAATATTTTCTAGAGACGATTAATCAACAATGCATGTTTAATTGAGGTTGATATACTTTTGTGTTAGTGATAAATTATTCTCTATTATTGCGTTAAGATTAAAACATCTTTTAATATAACTTATACTAAAATGCAATGAAACTATATAGTGTTAATCTTTTGATTAATATATTTTTTAATATAAATCGATCTTGTGTCTTAAAAAACTTCTTTTTCGCTTCTTATTTAATTAACACACGCATATATAAGAAATAATAATAATAGTAGTAGTAGTAATAGAGTTATCGATTACCGATAAAAACTTAATAATACTCATAAAAAACAGAAAGAAAGAAAGAACACACAAAATGGTTAGTTTTATTGTTATTTTGAATGAATAACTTGATTAAAACTATTTAATACTTGTTCAGCTTTACGTCTTATATCATCAGGTAGATCGTCAGGAATGTTATGTTCATTATTTGTTAAATGAATAACAGTATTTTTTAAATTTGTATTTTCATTTGGTATTGATGATGATGATGAATTATCAAGAAAAACTTGACGTACACGTTTTGTTACTGTTACATTAACAACTTCATGTTCATTTGTTTCAGCATTTAAAGTATTTAAATCAAGTGTTGGACCCATTTTATCATAAAGTGCTTTTAAAAATGAATTATCTGATGATTGTGATGCAACATATATCGTAATAATATTCATTAAACGTTTTTTAATATTATTATTTTCATCATTAATTATCTGATTTTGTTGTATATCATTGAAACATTGTTCAAGATGTTCATTGATAATTTGTCTTTCTTCTTTATTACCAATAATACGTTTATGTACATAATCAATAAGTTTTTGTTTTTCATCTTTATCTGAAAGAATTTTTTCACGAACAAATGTTATTACTTCTTGTTTGAGTTTAACAATTGTTTCATTATTTGAATATGATATTGTTGTTTCGAAATTATTTTTTACTGTTGTTTGTTCATCATTATCATTTGATGGTAATAATGGTGGTGGTGGAGTTGTTGCTAATTTTTCTTCCGAATCAATAAAAGGAACATTGGCAAATTTGTCAACAGTGATTGATGATGATTGCTCACAAATTGAATTTTTTTTCTTATTTGTTGTTGATACATCATCTTTTAGATATTTTTCTTTGTTTTTCTTGCCTTTTGACGTACATACACCCATTTATTATCGTTGTTGTTCTACTACTCGTTTTTTTTTTCTCTTTTCTGAATTGTCTTACTCTTATTGCTGGTTAGTTTATGGTTATAGACGCGATAGTAATAGAATATTTTGTCATTAGTGTTGTTCTTATTCTTCTTTCTACTATTTCTCTCTATTTCTTTATTAGAGAAAGAACGAGCGAATCAGCAAAAATGTTTCTATTCGATTAATGTTGATGAACTTTTTCACCATATATATAAACTATTGCCTGCGATGCATTTACAAACCAAAGATCAGTTGATTGAATCGATAAAAAGAAACGTTATAATAATGAAGCCTTTTTTTCCTATATTTCAAAATGCATTATATATATATGTCCAGAGGCGAATGGTGCCAATTGCTTTTTTACACATGCCCATATGGGTTTCTTTTTTTTTGTCATTTTTTTTATTCATATCCCTTATTGATTCTGATCCGCAATGTATTAGAATTCTTACGAGACATTTGTCATTCTTCTTCTTCCGAGCTGATCTAATTTATGTATGCATTTATCAATGGAAGAGAAATCGTAGACGAGACAGTTACATTTTCAGTTATATGAACATCTGTATATTGTCTATATACAAACGATCATATGAACTTAACAATCGTTCCTTTGAGTACTATCTCATCATGTGAATAATTGATTGGGAGGGAAGAAAGACAAAATGAAGAGTACTCTATGAATGAAGACTAATAAATAACAAACAATTCCATCACATTATCTATGTCTTTCTTTTCTTCTGTAAGTCGTTATTAATGATTCAATTAAAGACTGGATCACCATTATCACCAACAGACAAATATATACATATATGAAACATTCGAACTTTACTATATGTACAATAGATGATAAGACATTGGCAGATGGAAAATCCATCAGGAAAAAGAAATTTGATATGTGCACAGCATGCAAAAAATAAAAGGAGAAAGAAAACTATAACGAGTAACATCAATCGTTGATAATGGTAATGATGAGATTTGCGTCAGACGCGAGCACGCGTGCATAAATCTACTGTCGATAGTTGACGATCCATTAGAACAATTCATCTTTTTTTTCTTCTGACGATGACAAATCATTCTAGCAGAGGATGTTATATCAACGAGGATATAGAGTAAAGATTACATATCGAGTAAAGTCATTCAATATATAAATACTACTGATGATCTTTTGTCTCAACACATAGTTATAGAAAAAATTATAAGTATAGAAGAAAAACGAGCATTTCACCAACTTAATTATTCAAGCGAATTAATTTGATATTTATCAAGTTACGACTTTTCATGTTCAGAAAAGATCGATTATCTTACAAGAAAAAATTTTCTTGATTACGATATATAGTATAAAGTTCAATAGCAAAATTTTCAAGGACAAAAAAAAAGTATCAACTTACCACGTCGTTGCAGTAATCTCTCAAAATAATCAGCAGCAAATTCATTAATATTTCTTGGTTGACTTCGAAGAATTTCAGTTGATAAACCAACTAAAAGGCTTTGAAAACCTTTTGGTACACGTAATTTTGTATTTGAAAATGGAATCACCATGATTGAGAGTTTTTTTTGTTATTGTTTATAAAAAAAAAAAAGAAGAATATCTGAAAGAAAAAATAACAACGACAATTAATTACGGAACAATTTTTATAATATAAAAATTTCTTTCAAGAATGTAAATCTCGTATCACCAGTAACAATAACACGACGGGAATGGAAAAAAAATCATACCCAAGAGACGAAGTGAGTGAAGCAGAACAAACGGAAACCATGGCAGACTGAGACAAACAGGGGGCGATAGACAACACAAATGGCTCAATGAAAAAGTCCAATAGTGGAAGGGAACAAACAGAGGGCGCAGTTTTTGTAAAAATAATTACATTATTTTCAATATATGTTTGAAGAACCTAATCGTTTTAAATAACACACCAAAGTGACTATAAGTCAATAATGTCTTTCCGATTTATATATATTTCGATCCATCTATTTTTTTTTATATAGATTTTCTCCTTCGTTACTCTTCAAAGTCATGCGATTTATGAAATAGAAAACCGGTCTATTAATTATGACCATATATTTTTCATATCTTATTTTATATAGAACAATAGAGAGATGTGTAAATCATAAATTTTTAAAATCTAATAAGCCGATTGTCAACCTGATATATTATTAAATAGAATGGAAAATTAAACTAATACAATCTAACTTACTTAACATATTGATAAATAAGAACAGGTAAGAAAAACAATTGTTTCATATCGAATTAAATGAATGCGAAGACTGTGTACGGAAAAGAAAATGAATAAATATTATCATATGTTATTTGAGTTTGACAGTGCTTATTATTTATAGGGATTCATAGATTCTATTATTTCTCTTCTTTTCGATAGCACGCACATCTAGGCATTGCAATACAACTAATTTTCTTTTAATCATCTTCTGAAACTATCTTCCGGATTGAAGGAAATCACGTATTCATCAATAATTATTTCCTTTAATTATGAAGAAAAAGAAGTAGTCAAAAAGAACTAATTAATTGTTATACTGATAAAAGAAAACAAATATATATTTATGAATTTTAAACATCACAATTCTGTATAATTACATTATAACAATTAAGAATACATTCTACAAAATATAAGAAATTATTTGTTGTCATGTTATTTTTCTCTTTTGATCTCTATTAAAAATGAGTTTTTCTTTGTAAATACTTTTATTTCCTCTTCAACAGAGAGTACAAATGTAGAAGAATCACAAAATAACAACAACAACAACGACAGAGTTATTGTCTTTTTAATAATAAAACTTTTTGGTTTTTTTTATTATAAAAACAAGAAGATCGATAGATCTGACACAAACAATAACCGGATCATTTTAACGATCACCTCGTCCACGTCCACCACCGAAACCACCGCGTTCACTACCAGGTGGTCCTCCAGCTCCACGACCACCTGGTTGTCCAACAAATGAATTCATTGGTGGTCGACCACGTACACCTCGCCCTCTTGCAATTTGAGCACGTAAAATAGCTGATTTACCACGTCCAGTACCACCTTTAACACCACGCATATTTTTAAACATGGGTGCATTCTAAAATTTAATTAAAATAATAGGTAAATTCATATAAAAATATGTTTCTTACTTTTAGCATATCAGGGAAGATCATAAAACGAATTTTTGATCCACGAACATAGATATATTCAAGTTGTGCTTGTCGACCATCACGATAAGTTACAGTTACATTTGATAATTGACAATTCATATTATCTTCAGCTTCAATTAATTTACCACGGTAAACTTCTGATGTAACAGATTCTATTGTAATAACATGGCCTTCAGCTTCATGTAGAATTTTAATCGGTACTCCAATAGACATGTTAATTTATCAAACGAAATCTTCACTGAAGTTAATCAATCTTAAGAGTAGATGGAATTTATAGGAAATAGAATTTTCAGAATTAATGCTATAATTGACAAAGAAATACTTGACATTATGGATTGCTTAATCTATGAGCGTAGAAAATAAGACGGTATGAAAGATGTCGTTAGTATACAGATGTAAAACAAATTGTCATATATGACAACATCTATTTAGTTAAATATTAATTCGATTACAAATCTGAAACTAACATGAATATTATTATTGACATATACATTTGAAAATATAATCTAAGACTATACTAATAACTAATGTAATTGATTATGTATAATATTATTGTGACAGTAGAATTATGATTAGTTTTTAATTTCTAACAAGTTTTAAAAAAACATGTTTTCTAATTACATCTATTAAAAGCATCAATATATTCTGTGTATGTTATTAAAAGAACAATTTTACGCTTTGAATCGAAATGTTATTTATTTACCATTTTTACAATCATCTTTCTCTCTCTCAATATACTTTTGATAAGAAACCTGTGAACTACTGAATAATTATTTTATTTCAGGTTTACTTTTAATATAATATTATCTGATGACATTCGATTTTTTTGTTTTTAGCAAACCTAAGTATGTTCCCAAAAAAACAGGATTACGAAAATAATATTTGATAACATCTGCTTTTTATTGAGAAAAAATACAAATAATATAATTTAATCATAGTAGATGTAGTTTTGAATATTTGACTTTTACATGAGATAGACATACATTTATATCTTAACTATGAATAACTAATGATCGGATCATAATGACGTATTAATCAATACAAAACCTTCCAAGGTTAATCATTCATCTATTTTATTTTGTTTGACATCAAAATGCTTACAGTCGTACATAGAAAAAAAGGTATTCTATTGTTTCAAGGTCAATACAGGTAGGGCAGAGCAATCTTATGATAGATAGATCATTAATCTACATTACAGATTGAATTCTATTCAAGATTAGATATCGCATCTTAAATTTTTTTATTTAATGTGAAGAAATGTAAATTATGATCGATAATATAAGAATGACAACTATCATATCGATGTTTCGATTAATTTCAGTAGTCACTAACAAGATACTCCTTGCTCCAGCACCACCATCTATACCGATAATCATTATAATTGTGTCTCTATACTCCACAAATATATAAATACGATATCATTAAAGAGGCAAATAAATAAATGATTCGAAAATTTTAATTTTTTATTGTGAAGAACAGTAAAATTATGAAATAATACATGGATAACATCTATTATATTCGTGGAGTATAGAGACGCAATTATAATGATTATCAGTATAGATGGTGGTGCTGGAGCAAGGAGTATCTTGTTATTGACTACTGAAGTTAGTCGAAACGTCGATATGATAGTTGTTATCCTTATATTATCAATCATAATTTACATTTCTTCATATTAAATAAAAAAACTTAAGAGTCTCGTATTTGTCTTTTCAATAATATTGTAGATATCGCATAGTATTTCGGATCTGAATTAGCTACAACAACTACTTCGTGCATGCTTATATTCCTCAGAAAATAATATATCTACAAGTTTATTTAGTATACAATGCTGTCTGTACCTGTATGTTACATTCAGGTGAAATATATCAAGTTACTTTATCTAATATAGTTGTATGTTTCATTTTTCGCTCGACAATAATTCTTTTCAGATGTAAAATAGATAATACATATCCGCGAAACTAAGTTTTAATTAACATCCTGCGTTATCGTTATTTATACGAATTGAAGAATATAATATTGATTTATTTTATTAATATATCGACAAAGTTAGTTTTCATAAAAACGAAAAATTACAAAACTAATTGGATTTTATCACTAGTTCGTTGATAATAAAATATGTTTATAAAATTTGCTTGTTCAATAAATATATTAATTCATAAACCAATATATTTGTTTTACTTTAATATTAAATATTGAAAGAATATATTCACCACGATTCGTTTTGTATTAAAATTCGACATGCTTTTGATGTGAATGATTTTTTAATGGTATTGATCTATGATGAGTTTCTATTGCATGATTTTTTTGATGACATTTCTTTTTATGACAATCGCCTGATTTACTAAATGTTGAAGATATTCTTAGTGAAGGTATTCGTGTTCGAAATGCTGTAGTATTATCAATAATAACCATTGTAAATAGGAGTAATACAACCAGGTGACTGTATGAATACTTCATCATATAACTATTATCGAATAACGTTTGCTTTGATTTGGAAAAAAAACGTTTTTTTTTGCCTTATATACTTAACTAACAATTTGTTTTTTTCTATCCTACACATTAGTACCATGTGAAAAAAATATGTCTATTCGCGTATAATAAAGTATTATATCGCCCTGTATTATATTCTTGTTACGCATGAATGCCTTTTTCATATGATATTAAACGACAACAATCTACCTATGAGCATTCTTAGTAAAGAAAACTGTCTCTTTCTATTTTTTTTAATTTACATCAACTTATTTTCTTTACCTCATTTGCAATAGTAACGTTTACTTTGAAACCCACGCAAAATAAAAAGCATGTCACACATACCATTTTACGCAATAGAAAAGATAAAGAACCGACAATTTTCTAGTTTCCCCACGCAATATATTCAAACCCAAAGTTAATACAATGCATAAATTGACAAAAATAAACGTGTTGTACTATAACACTAGTTTTAATTACGGGTATAAGATATATGAAAAAAAAATAAAATAAACAACAAAACGAGAAACAGGAAACACCGAGATAATGGGTTTGTTTAATAACCATGATGGTACTCATTATAACTACTTCCCGTTGTCTGCTATTAATATAGTAAAAAAAAAGAAAAAGAAATATTGTATAATTTACATATAAATTTTATTCATACCATTTTTGATGTATTTATCGGTGGTGGATAAATTTGTTCTTCTTTAATACCGGCTGTTAAACCTGAAGCAAATTTTGTTTGCCATTTAGGATTTGCTGGTGCACCATGTGGAGCAAGACGTGGAGAATTTCCAACGAATTGATGTGAATCATCAATAGTTAAATTTTTTTGTTGACCATTTAATAATTCTTGTTCTTGACAATGTCGATTAAAATAAGTAAATAAACCCATAAAAATCAAACAGATTATTCCATATGCACGAAATGTTATATCAGTACCTATGAATGAAATAGGTGAAAAAAAACTAATAGACTAAATGTTAATTTACCAAAATATGAAGCAAAAAATCCACCAAATAAAGCTCCACAACCTCGTCCAAAACCAAAATGAAAACCTTGTAATACACCTTGACAGGATATTCGTAAATTTTCTGGTACAGCTTGAGATAAATATGAACATGCTGTTGCCCATACAGCTGCATGTGTAAGTCCTTCAGAAATTATTTCATTATATTAATTATATAAAATAAAATAAAAATTTACCTTGTATAAATTCAAATGGTAATACCCACCATGGATTTGTAATGAGTGATATATAAACAAAACGAACAAAATTTCCTAATAAACCCAAATAAAGAATCTTTATATGTCCAAAACGTTGAATAAGTTCGCGTAAGAAAAAATAAGCCAATAATTCACTTGTATGATTTATAACCGAAGCAACACCTAAATGAAATTTAAATAAAATAAAAAACAATTCTCAATAAATTTACCGAAAAGTGTTGGTGAACCACCAAGATCTTGTAAATGCCAAAAGAGAAATGTAAATACAAGACCAACACCACATCCCATCCACCTAAATTAAAAAATCGAACAATTAAAAAAAACTAATTTTCTTTTCTTACCATGTTATAAAGAGAAATGTACCATTTTTTAATGTTAGAAATATTTGTATAATTTGCATTAATTTTATTGTATTTGATGTTTCATATTGATTAATATTCATATTATTTGATTCATTTGGATACAAATTTTTTGTTGTTGGTGATATTTTCTTTTTTAAATCATCATTTAATGTACGCAATGGTAATTGTTCATTTTTATCATAGGAAAATTCAAAACGAGATGCACTTATTAATGCAAATGTCATACAAACACTAAATGCAGCAAAACAAACTGTATAATTTTTTTCAAGTGGTCCACTTGTACCACAAGCATGAAATGTAAGTGATTTTGATTGATCTAAAATAAATCATAATAATTAACTATCTATTTGCAAAAAATTGATTTCTTATCATTACCAAGTATAGTAGCAACAATAAATATAGCTAAACCCCAACCTAAACTACCAAACATACGTTGACGTCCATATAATTCTGTATCTTGACCCAAATAAGATAATGTACATGCATCCTAAAAAGGAAAAACAAATTTCATTCCAGTTGAATGAATAAATAATATAATGTTCTCGAATGTAAATTTTAGTGAATAGTTTTTCCGGTTATCCCCTCATTATTCTAAAGCCGGATATATATTATCATTCGTCTCAATGACTTTTATTATAGTTTAACAAGTCTATTAATACATACATAGAGAATATGATCAAGAACTTAAGAGCAAAAAAGATGAATGTTATTCTTTAGAATTATTTATATATATGTTATTATTAATAAATCAGTGCTATTCATAGAATGACAAGTATTCTTTAAGACAAGAAAAATAATCAATGAATATTTACTAAAATCAATAAATATAGATTATTCTAAAAAGTCCTTGATACTTATTAGAAATTTATTTCTTCATTTATACTCTTATATGATGTATCGACAAGTCATTTTATTAATTACATGATAAAGTATCTTATTATCGTTATCAAAATAGATTATACTCAATCATTTCCTAATGAATTCAAGCGATGTCAATGTTTAATATCCTTTGGGACGTAATTAAAAAAAACAATTTTAATTTCGTCTATTTTGAAGTTTGTTTAGTTATATTGACTTACAGCTAATGTTATTGCTGGTGCACTAAAAAATTCTCCAACAATAATGAGTAATAAAAAGACCATAAAAACATTGCGAACATCTTTTTTTTCATAGAGTATAGGTGATGCAAGTGGTTTAACTAATGATAAATTTGTATGCATTATTGATAATGGATTTCCCATAGATTTTTGAGGTTTACTTATTGATATTAAATTAATCGGGTTTGATTGTTGTTTATAATCTGGTTTTGATTTAATTCGACTTTTTTCATTAACAGGATTATCTTCTTCACTACTTTCAATAGAATCATCTTCTTCATCATCAAATTTTGAAGATAAAGTCGTCGTTTTAATTGTTGTTTTAATTGTTGTTTTTCTTCGTCGAGACGACGATGCTAATGTAGTTTTTGTTGCTATAGTTGAATTCATAATTCGATTTTGACGATCAACTATTTCTTTTATTGTATTCAAAGGAGATGTTGGTAATTTTGTTACTTGTCGCTTACCAATTACTCTAATCGTTGATTTCATTGTACTAGTTGCATATCCTACACGTTCAATAACTTGATGAGTTGAATTCATTTCTCTCCAACATGAATGTGGTGGTGGTTTAATAAGACCAATAGCTACAGTAAAAATAATCCAAGATAAAATTGCCATAATTAAGATATTTTTTGCTTGTCGAAAACGTGTAGATACAACACTCCAAAATGGTGCCGAAACGAATTCAACAAATGGTCTAATTAAAAAAATTGTATATTAATTTAATTAAAAAAAAATTAGAATCATTGATTTCTATTTACCGAAAGCCCATGAGAATCCCACAATATGATGGACCCATACCCATTTGTTTGAAATAAATTGACATCAATGGAAAAAGAGAACCAAATGCAGCAAAATACCAAAAATAAAAAAGTTTGGCAAATAATAATGTACGATTTACATTTGATGGTAATGAATTGAGTAAATTCGGTGCACGTTGTAATGCTTCGGATGTTTTTGAATTTAATAAATTTCCAAGACCAGGTATAGATGATTTTTGTGCATTATCATATTCATATAATTCAGTTTGGTCATGTTGTTGTTGTTGCTGTTGTTGTTGTTGTTGTCGATAAGGATCATTCATATTTTGATAAAGATCTCGAGATTCCATAGTATTTAATTAATCTTATCTATATGCATATTACAAAAAAATGTTTTATTATTATTTATCTATCTTACTTTTTAAGTATATTTATTACTATGAAAAATAAAAAGTGTTACTTGCTAGAGAATTGCACTTGTAATTAACTTATACAATATGTTGATGATAGGAGGATGGTGTTAATTGTAGTTCATTCGGTTTTTATCGTTTATATTTTTTATCAACAGATAATTATTATAGAAGATCCTTCTTTCCTTTTTTCTTTATCGTCTTGAACAGCAAGAGATGACAGGCAATAGACACTATGATATATATATAGAAAACAAAGGCTATCCGGGAGAAGAAAACGATGACAACATGCGATACAATGCTATGTCATTTTCTATTATACTATACTGTTGTCAAGAAGGAAAGTTCGTTCCATATGATGTCGAATCATCTTCGTACTCCGCTTTCTTTTCTAGATTTTTTTTTCTTTTCTTCTCACGTTCAGCCACAGTTCATTACTCTAAGAATTGACAGAAATGAGAGAGAGAGAGAGAGAGAGAGAGAGTCGGAGAAAGAGGGAGCAAGATCATGCTATTAGTTTTCCCTCGTTGAAGGATGTCTTGCTTTTTCAAACGAAGCAGAGAAAATAAGCTCAAATCTCTGAATATTCTTCTCATAAACATCATTTTGCGTGTTATTATAAAAATGGCCTAAAGAAACAAGCGCATATGCAAAGATTATTGAAGACATATAGTTTTCTATGTTAATGGAAATCTCTAATAAGGTGACAGGCAACAGACATTTATGCTTATGGCAAACTGATTTTAACGGATGTTAGTTTCGATACTTTATATTAGACGAGAGAACATTTATCAAATAATAATGAATATGTAGACGAGAAAGAGAAAGTATTAATAGTGAGCAAAGAATTTTTATTTTTCATCGAATAACGTTCATCTAATTGACTACTCGGAAACAAAAACCGAGAAGAATGTTGAAGAACTAACTTAAAAACACTATTGACCGGCATATTTATATGCATCTATTAAATGAAAGAAGGAAAAAAAATCAATTAATAATGTGATGGAAAGGTTGATTTAATATTTACAACATATATATATATATGAAATTTTTCTTATTACTTAATGATTACCCAAATATTTAGTCATGTAAACAAAATTCAAGTAGATTCTTCTCAACTAACTTTTCTTCATTCAATAAACTTTTTCGGAATCAACAATGTATTATAGAAAAAAAACCTGGGCGGAAATGGTTTTACGGGAATGAAAAAGAATTGTTAGTTCTTTTGTTCAAATATATCATTTCTTTTACTAAAAAAACTATGCTTATATATATATATATCCTCAAGAGAAACAAAATAAATATAGTCGATAAACAAGCGAATTTCTAACACAAAATAGATTATTAAGTCAAATAGAATAAGATGGATTATATTAGAAAATGTGTTTTAGTATAGAAAAGAAAAGAAATCAATTATCTCTTAACGATGCAATAAATCCTTTAACTAGTTTTTAATAGGTAAAGAAAAAAAAATATTAATAAATGGTCTTATATTTATTTCTATAAATACGGAAATGATACAACATATATATATAAAACTTTTCTGTTATAAAATAATTGATTTTTAAGTATTTTTCTTTCTTAAAATAATTCATCAAGCATAAATATATTTAAAGGAAGTTATTATTAACTAAAGTTTGTTTTTATGACATTTTTAATTAAAAAAACAAACTATTTTTGAAATTGTTTATTATACAGAAATTATTTCGTATATCAAAAAAAATCTATAGATTTATTGATTTGACTTGAAGGAATTAGATTAGAAGAAAAATGTCATTTTATATTTCTTCTGTTTTTTCTCTAAAAGTTTAAGACACAATCAGATTAATTTCATTAAATGTAAGTTTTTATTAATAAATTGATTTTCAATGAAATTAATGTATTCTATAAATAAATCTTTTCTATATGTTCTTAACATGTCAAAACCAATGAAAAAAAAAGAAAGATTGTAATTTATTGTAGTAAGTATGCCATGAGAAATTTTGTTTTCTAGCTATATTTATATTGAAATATGCGTATATGTCAGACCCGAGGAAAAGAATATTATCAAAACTTTAATTTCTTACTGAATCAATGTCACTACTTTACTTTCATGAGTCGAGAAGCGTCACCTGATCAATTAACCTTGAATGTGAAAAACTGCTCATAATTCCTCGACTTTGAAATTAATTTTTCTATCGCTGACTGTAAGAGTAGTGAATCTATGGTCTCAACATAGTTTACCAATAAGAATTAGAATATGACGTTGATCTTGAAACTAATCCAAGTTTTAAGTTAAATTCTTTTTTAATCCAACATTGGGCGTAATCTTAATATTTGATGCGTATATACAGCCACATAATTTACCATGTATTCCTTTTCAGCTCTGTAGACATGTATTCATGCGTAAACGCATTTTTCCTGTTTTAGTATGTTTACTTTTTCTTCTCCTATACTTATTAATAAACTCTTTTCTCCTTGTACTTATATAGCTTTTATAAGAAGTATGTGTACATAATACAATAGATTTCGATATAAAGACGTCTTTGCTATGTCTAACATTCGACAATATTTCGAGAGACAAATACGATACTTTAGGGAAAGCATGTAGCTGCATATATGCATGAAGTATTGTAAAAATATTCTCACTATAATCATTTAATCAATCTGCGTCAGTCGATAATTAATTTATACTTTACACCAAACTACTTGATGTAGCAAGTCTACGTCATTCCAACTGCAATATTTGCTTATCACTTGGGACCTTTCGTTGTAACCGACAAAATATTAAAAAGAGAAAGATAATTTAATTTATTCAATCTTGATTGATAACTATATTAATCTAGACTTCAATTTCTTCTATGATTTTTCTATGATAATAATTTATTATTGAACGAATATATTTCCATGTTAAAGAAAGTTAACGATAGATGAATGCATTATATTTTGAAATAAGTGCATAAATAACACTTTCAATTATTCTTATTATTATATTATCGTGTAATAATATATATAGAGATTTGTTTTTAGAAGATTTCAGATATTTTTGTATGATAAAACATCAACAAGACTATTTATAGAATTATAATAATGATCATTTGATGTTAATATTCAAAAAAAGTGTTCATGTACAGTTTAGTATTTGGAATATATAACAAGTAACGTTCATCGAAACTCGATTCACTTCAGAAGGAAATCAAATTGAATTACTACTTTTTATAAAATCAAGCACTTTTGTAAAAGTCTATTTTGAACTCTTTTATCTATATGCACTATAAAAAGACTATTAAACTGATAAGCTTATTATAAATACTTTGCAAAAATGCAAGAACTAAAATTTTAAAATTATTAAATTACAATGCTTATATTTCTAAGCTTCTAATCCTGAGTCTTATTATTTTTTTTTAAAGTTGTGGTACAGGACATTGTAGCACATTATCGTTTTTCTCAAACATGCATTAAAAATATTTGTCGATGATGATGAACGACATGCCATATAAAAATAGGTGAACATTTTTTTCTTCTAAGTATTATAATACTTTATGTATAAGAAGGTTCCGTTTTTTTGTTATTAATATTATTTTAATCTTCTTCCATATTAAAAGTAAAATTGGCATTGCCTCGTTATTTTAATTTTTTTAATAAAATAATGATCTATACATAATTAAGAAATACACAAATATATTAAATATTATGCCATTTAAATAAAACGATAGTAGTAAATAAAAGTTATATTATCAAAAATATGCCATAGTTACGGGGCCGTTTGCACCAAAAAAATGGACATGTGCCATGTTACCGACAAAAATAATATATGTAAATAGACCAACTCCCGTTTCTAGACTCTGTCTTTAGAGTCTAGGGAAAATGTATTTAGATTTTAACAGCGGCTACTTCGTTATATAACATTGTTTGAATTAAAATCAGTTCATGCTTCTGATTAGTTTGCATTATACATCTTATTTTTCGAAGACAAAATAATCAGCCATATTTAATGAATGCTAAATATCATCCTGAATTCTAATAACTTCAGTCTTTATCATAGGAGAAATACAAAAGCTTATATCTTACAAAAAAAATTTCGTATATTTCAGGAATTTACTTGATAACAAAAGACATGAAAAGGATGAACTATTCGAAAATTAAATTGAATAGTCATGTATCAATAATATTGCATTCATTTAAATATTTGTAACTACGATCAATTTCACATAAGTTTCTAGATATCATTTTTATAAAATAATAATATCCGAAAAATAGTTGTAAAACACAACTAAAAAAATAGATTATAATATTGAATGATATAATAAGTCAATTAATGAGTTTTACAACATTATTTATTTCGCATATATCTCGGTTTGAAAAGATCTTCTAAACGTTTTGATTATTTGTCAAGTATAGTGACACAATTTAATATTGATAAAAACATAAATAAGTGAAATTTATATTTTCATCAACATAAAATTTGTGATCTTTTCTCATAGTAGAATTTAATCATGCTCGTTATGATAAATATAATCATCAAATTAATAAATCATTATCGATGAATAATCTATAGTTAAATAGATCAATGTACTCTAAAAATAGCATTAGTAAATATCCATAAATCATGACTTTTGATAAAACTATTTGATTTCTCATCTATAATATATTCGCCTACACAATTATTGTTTGTTAGAGTACATTTCTCTCTAGTTTTGATGCTTTACTCAATCTAAACGATCATTGATGTCCTATTGCTGATGAAGATCGTACTCATAACAAGTCAAGAACTTCTTCAAATTCGTATGTATAAATATCTATTAGATAGTATTATTTGAGACCTATTATTTTTAGGATTTATTTGCATGAAGTAATTGTGCAAAAACAACATTTATCGGGTAAGATATTTATAAACTTTCGTGAATAAAAATAGTTCTCTAATTAAACATCGAGAGTGCATCATGACATTATTCGCTATCCAAACAATGACAAAAACAAAGTACGCTGACGTTTTGTTTTCAATAAAGTGTAATATATGAGAATAAAACAGTCTCAATGATATACTCATATGCATTTTCATTATAATTAGAATTAAGACAGATTACGTATCTAAGTTTAACTAAGATACAAGTGCTGAGACTCTATATGTATTATTATCAATCAGAATTTTGCCTAAAAAAATGATTTATATTGATATTATCAACTGAGAAAAAAGTAAAGTAGACTAGCGTATTTGATTAGTAGAAAAATAAAATGAATTATTATAAGAAACTCCTACATAGTGTATGATTACAAATTTTAGACGTTAAACTAAAAAACAACACACGCTTAACGGAACCGGAACTATGAGAGAATAATTTTGTTCCAATGAAATTAAATGTTATGAATAATTCTGTATAATTTTTCAACGAGCAGCTATCTTATCAATCAAAGAAAGATCGAAAACAAATATTTGAGGACATTTTTAAAAATATGATGAATATGTCGGTTGATAAGTAATACCCAAGTCTAAAAATACGGGCCAATTTCGGCAGGAAATCGCTGGAACATGAAAGCAATACACCCACCAGAAATGTTTCGGTTTTTTTCTATGATTTCTGACCGGTTACTGCTGAAAATCATAGAAAACTTATTCAAATCCAGCAAATTTCCGATCGGAATACTGCCCGCGCTTATGGCAATTTCCGTTGACCGTACTTTTCAACTTGAATACTTGCTAATCTCTATTCATCAACTGTTTCTTAATATAAATTTATTCTAAGAATACTCAGTCTACCGGATACATATAAAGTTCATTCTTTTATCAAATAGTTATCAATGAATATAAAGCGATCTAAAGAATTTTTTTAATTTGAATTTATAATAACATTTCCGGAAAAAAATTGTACCTCTCTCTTTTCGATTATATACTTATTTATAAAGTACAGAAGGTCATTTAACAGTACGACAGTCTTTGTAAAGTACATCTGATTTTCATTAATAATGTCCTTTTTAACACTTCAACTTTGATTTGGGAATAAATTCTTAAGGTATATATTTAAAACGAGCATGAAATTTTCATTCCAATTGATTACTCATAATTCTTGCTTAGATAAAAAAAGGAATCAAGATAGTGTGCCAAGATTTTTTTTATATGCATGCTCAATAGCAATAATCTTTCTGCTTATTGTGCATAAAATTGAATGAGGTTGTAAAAGAGATAAGCATTCATAACGTAGAAATCAACATGCGATCAATATTCGAACTCATTTAACCGATTTTACACATCCACCCTCATTCTTAGATAATGTTAACCAACAAGAAATCAATTATAAATACCAAGGTTTTTTTACTATCTGTTATTTAGAATGTGTTTCGTTATCTGGTTTTGTTTTTTAACATCAAAGTTTTGCTATGCAAAAACAATCAGTTGTTTCTTGTGTGTCTAATAGAATCTAGCAAATTTTCTGAATGACTGCATGCTTGTTAATTATTAAGATTAGTATAAAATATATATAATTTTTGTGGCGCACTTCAAAATTGGACATCCTAGAGGAAAACAGTCATTGATGATCTATTATTTTATCCTGGAAAAATTTTTTTAATAATAGTTTTATAATATATTCATTGGTTCTTTTTTTTCAAAATATAAATAGAATATAGATCTTGTCTTAAAAAACAAGGAAGGAGGTAGATGCTCGTTCAATTGAGTGCAAATAACATTTGAAAAACATATTTACAATAAAAAACTAATCATTTTTTTTATAAGAACTCTGTTAAAAAGTGCATTTGATAATTATTTTACTTAGAATGATTAATTATTAAATAGGCATTGTAATGAATGTCATTTTAATGTTTCCTCTTATTTGTTTTAAACAATATATATGAGTAGATGCGTAGAAAACGATTCATACATTTCATAGTGTGGAGACAGAAAAAAACTATAAAACACTTGTAGAAAAAAATATGACATAGCGGGAAAATAATCTGTCATGTATTTATATTAAGGCCCTACTTGAGTTGAAGTTAAATGTTGAGTGGGATGATGTAGGTACGCAGTATCATAAATAGCACAATTTTATCATAGTTTATATCATATAAATAAACTCTTAACATAAAAGAGACACATAAATATATGCGCTTCGTCTTTTTTTTTCTTTCTATATTTCTTGTTTCCCGTCATCAACAGTTCCATAAAACGTCCTAATCAAAGCTGAGCAACTCAACTAGCTTAACCGGCACGATTTTTAATTTCATTGTCTACTTTCAAAACAATGCATTCAAAAGAGATTTATCGTTTCCGTAAGTCTTTGTTTTTTTTTGGTTAAAGTTATATGTAGAAATGATTTTCTCTTATAGCATCAATAATTTTATGTTTTGCAATTATATTAATATTAATTCAGAATTGTTTAAGTCAACCATTATCGACTGGTATCCAAAAAATTGATGATAGTGGTGATAATTCAATGTTAAATAGAATTTTATTTAATTCTGAATTAAACAATATTGATGATGAAAGTGATGAATCTGCACCAAGTTTTTTCGTTTTACATTCGACATATAATCGTTTATATAACAAGAAAGAAAATTCAGAGCCGGTACGTCGAGCAAACTTTTGGAAACGAGCGAATTTCTGGCGTAAACGTGCCAATTTTTGGCGACGTGAACTAGCTGCATAAAGACAATGTCATATGTTATTTTAAAATTAATAAATAAAAAAATAAACATCCTGGATTATTTTAACATATAAAGAATATAATTAAAATAATGTGACATCTTTATTATATAGAAAAAAAAGATTTTTTTATAGTTGTACTAAATATATTATATGATATTTTATCATTGCTTAATTTACGACAAAAAGAAAAAGTATTTTTATTATAGTTATCAATAAAAACATAATAATCAGAATAAATAGTTCGATGGTTTAAGAGATTGTATCACATTTTTCAAGATGATCTACTGTCAAACGTGGTATGTCATCGAGAGAAAATGTATTGCAAAGTATTTAAATTCAAAGGTAAAGTAAAAATATTTAAATATCATTGATGTATCGAATTGTACAATTAACTTGTAATACTAACTCTTCTAGTCTTGATTTTATAACCGTTACATTGTTTTCTTTCAATTAGTCAAATATAAAAATTGGAAAAACACATACAGATATAAAATCGGGATGTTTTAATATACATGTAAATATGTTGAAGAGTATACTATATTCAAAATTATACGAACTATAATGTCAGTCAGCTTAATAGATATTCATAAATACTTAGGAGATTTTATCTTAGATATCAATTGAACATATGTGTTGTGTTTTATAAGAAAAACTGCTTCATTAATTAACCATCTACTTACATATGAAACGTAGTCAGAAGAGATGATTAAAGAAGAATGATTGTATTTTTATGTGAGACAGATATTAGGAAGAAAGACATGAACTGTTGCATAAGTAGTAAAGCTCTGCATGACAATACATAATCGTCGGAGTATTACTTTATGTAAGCCTTGTATTCTTTACTTTCTCATGTTTTACTGAAGTGCTTCGATAATTATATTGTTAGACATATGAGATACTGTACACGTGTTTATATTATATATAGGATGGGTGAGTGTAACATGACCGTATGAAGAATATTTTTAAAAGTTTCTACCTATCCCATACATTGTTGTATTGTTCATAAGTATTTCGTCGAGTATTTTGTCTCAAGCGAAATATAACAGTATTTGTGATAGTTACTAGAAATTCAATGGAATACTAATTTAGAAAACGCTATTGAAAACTGTAACTACATTCTCTTTATAATTTTCTGAAAAAGAATGAAACAATACAGCTCTTTAGTTGTCTATTAGTAACAGATACTTATGTGTTCTATTTAGCGTGTGACATTTTTGTCATTTACTAAATGTTGTCATGATTTTTCTTGATGATCTATTATGTCACCTATAATCATATTTTATAAGCGTCTCTTGAGAGTAAGAAAAGAATAAATTTTTATTTTTTTCTAATGTTCGTATGGACAAATGGGTTAATCTTGTTTGAGAAACTATCTTTATTTTTTTTTAATCATTAAATCGATATCTATCCGAGTTCAAAGTATGCACATAGGACAACTGTTACTAATGATGTACTTTCTATAAACGAAGCAGACATCACGCATTTATCTCAAGAACAGTTTATTTTAAAGTTTCTACTAATACAATGAACGATATCACTATCAAAAATTTGTGCTTCATCTTATCTTGTAATTATATTCATGTAAAACAAACATTGAGACCAGTTTTGTACTGACGGATGTATAGTGAAATGAAATTTTAGTGATCAATTGATCGTCCATTGTTTTCTCTTCAAATGAGGTATAGCTCGCCATTGCATTCCATTTATTAACAACGATATGGTGCAATGGACAGTAAAGATCAACAAAATTGTGGTCTTCAAATTAAGTGGTAATAATATTAATTCGACTACGACGCCTCCAAACATTAAATTTAAGCAGAAGAAAAAAATTTGCACTAAAAGTGATGATTTAGATGGTTATGTCTTCGAAAAGGGCTTCCGATGTGTATGTTCACAAGAACAAATAAGCTATTTTTCAAGAACCTATTTGAACGAGTGTATTAACAAACGATTACTTCCTTTTATCGATAAGTATCATCATGATAGAAATCATCTCTTCTGGGTCAACTTGACAAGTGCTTATTATATTCAACTGTTGTGAAGAAATGTCTTAATGAGAAAAACATACCATTCGTTTCTCGTCTGAAAGTGTATGACAAGAATTAGGAAGCTAAAGGTTTAGATAAATTGGAGCGAAGGATCAAACAGAAGGGCAAAAGAACTTAATAAGAAAATATTGCAAAGTATGGTCGAAAGATATTTCGAACTATACTAATTTCTAAAAGCGACATATCAAATAAAGTCAACTTGTAAGTATTTACTTACTTTCTAAATCAACTACTATTTAATCTGTCTAGCATTCATATATCATGTATTAGCAGCAAATAATATACTGAATCATATTTCCATAATAAATACAGGAAAGAAACTTTAAAAGCTTCAGTTTTCTCTTATATCTTTTCTTATCGATCTATAAGATTTCTCTTCCACACACTTGAACTGATATTTAATATTCGAAATTATTTTATGTAAACTGTAATTCATTTGATTCTATATCAATATTACAAATTAATAGAGGTTGAATAAATGTAAATCTTATTATCAAGCTTTACATCATTAGTCTGTCGTTTTTTCTACTGATAGGGTTTATTATTCGATAATATTTTGTAATATAATATCTGCTACTATGTCATTTTTCAAAAAATCTTGATGATTGACATGTATCGCTGTTTGATAAAAGATACTTTCTTAGTCAATAGAAGTCCTGGCTCATTATTTTCCCAAATTATTTCAATGGTTACAATAAATTTCTTTTTTTGCTAACATACATGTTATAAATCGATCTCTTATAAAATAGAAAACGTAATATATCTTACAAAAAATTATCTTTTGACATGATTGATCTAAATAAACATTTTTACAACGTAATAGTATATATGAATATTAATACGCTTATCGAGTATTTTTGTCCTTCTATAGTAATATATCAATTATAGAAATACTAGAAATAACATTGTCTGTCCAAGTCTCTGGATAAAATAGCATACAATCTAAAAATAATTTGTTTCTGACATGATTTATGATTTATTCTAAATAGGCAAATAGCAGGCACAGAAGATATCTATATATTTAAAAAAAAAACTATTATTTAATAACAATTGTTGAATTTCTCGGTTGTTGTTGTTGTTGTGAATTTTTATGATTATTATTATTGTTAGATGACGGTGATGATGTTATAGATGTAATTCTTGCAGTTTTTCGTAATAAATGCCAACAAGCAGCTCGTTGTTCACCATTAATTACTTCACACCAATGTATTATTTCACTATGTTGAGTTATATTAGCACTACTAATAGGTGTTATATGTTCAAAACGTAAGAAGCCTAATGGTTCATCTGGTGCAATAAGATCATGATGATAAACACCTATTTCAAGAGAAGATTCAGCTAATGGTACACCTGGGATATTAAATGAGATTTCTTCATTCCATTTTGGATTTAATGTATTACGTTTAGTACTTGTTTTTTTACGTTTTACTTTATCTGTTTGGCCTAATTGTAATGTTAAACGGACAATTGGATCTAATAAAAATAAAAAAATGATTTATTTTTCTTATGAATAATAAATATAAACGAACCAGCTTCAATATGCATTGAAAGTGCTTTTAAATTTCGTGCTTCAATAATACCAACGTTAAGTCGTTCAGCTTGCGGTAAATATGTTAATGAAATTAATAATTCACCAAGATATTCATCCTCCTGAAATAAAATATCAAATGTATTTTTTTTTATCATTTGAAAGATCTTACTGCTCGTTGTTTACTAATTGTACACCATAGATCACTGTCCGCATGTAATATTTGTGGTGTTAAACGTAATTGTGCTTCACCAATACATTCCGGTCGACTTGAATGTGCATAATTATAAATATAAAAATATAAAGTTTTCGTTGTTTTTAATACTGTTTCATTCGTAACACCAAATTTAAAATATTCATCCCATATAGGATTTATTGTTGTTGGTTGAACTGATGTTTGACGTAGTTTTTGATCTATAGGTGGGCGAAGATAAATTTTAACATATGGATTTGCTGATTCTTCACGTTCAACAGGTAAACATTGAGCTAAAAAAACCCAATATAAACCCTGTTTTTTTTCTATTCAAACTATATACCTTCAATTATATTAACGACAAGATCATTTCGATGTTCATCATAAACAAGACGAATATGTAATCGATGTACTTTTTCTTCTAAGGTCGATGTATCATCATTTGCTCGTTCTAGAATAGTACCACTAATACTTGTAGCCATTCCAGTATTCCCATTAGTATCATTATTAGTAGCACATGCGGTACCTGTGAAGTAGAGATTAGGCATTATTGCTCCTAATGCACCACGAAGTGTTTTATTTTTATTAAGTTGAAAAGTTGTTTGTGGTACAATTGGAGGAGAAAGAAATCCATGTTCTAAAGGTATCATGGAAGCACGTGCACCAAGATTTGATTGTTTTGCAGCAATCGGAAATTTTGGTATCGCATAACGTGATGATGGTGATCGAAGTAATGATTGACGACGACTTGAATTAAGATTTTGTTGTGAATCAATTTTTGTTAATAAACGTTTAGATGATTGATCTTCCGTATTTCCTGATGTTTGATCAACAGATGATATAGATTGTTCAACAGCATCGGATGAACGTGGAAATAATTGAAATCGAATATTTTTTGAATTATTCGTATTAAATAATGTTGATACATAATTATCACTTTCTACTGCCGATAAACGTTGCATCGGTTTCGAACTACGTCTACCAGCATAATGTGCTGTAATTGCTTGTGTATCTGTATCTTCATAGGAATGTGATAGACGACCGACTTCGCCTTTTTTAGGTAAAAGTACACTATCTGATGCAACCGATGGTCGACCTGATTGATTTGAACTAATAGATAGACGAGATAATTTTTCTGATAAAATGGATAAGCGACCACCGGAAATAACTGAAGTACGAGCAGATTGAGATGTTGTTTCTTCTGTAATAACAGGTGGTTGTGGAATTCGATGAACTATTGGTGTATAACTCTAGGAAATGAAATTATGCTAATTGAAAAAAAAAAGATCCGTTTGACTAATAAGCCGTATTAGATATCATTTTAAAAGAGGAAAAAAACCTAATCTTACACGTAACGAGAATTAAAACTTTCTTTTTTTATCCTTTTCAAATTGCGTATGCGTGTTCACTTGCCTGTGAAGTTCCAATCAGTACCGGAAACTCAGCACGTCATCACTCGATAGATAGACAAATAAATTACTCACGAGATGTTGTGGTGGTTTGAAATATGTTTTAGCATCTATATTATTAATGGCTGCATAATGACTAACTGACCGACCAAAATATCGATGACTTGATGATGGTACACAACATTTACAAAATATAATTGTTGCAATAATAATTATTATAATAACAGAGATAGCTCCAATACCAATACCAATATATAGATCATAACGTGATGTAAGCATGATAACATTGCGCTTATTATCTATATTCTTTAAAAATAAAATAAAACATATGTATAAACAGAGATTTTCTTTTTCTTTTTCTTGTTCTTTAGTCATTCAACGACAGTTAATAATTCCTGTAATCGTATGGATGTAGATGACAATGTTTGTGTGTCCGTTAATAATCTCTTTTTCTTATTACCTCACTCTCTCTCCCCGGTAATGATGTATGGGTGTGCTCAAAGTTATTGGAGTCTTGAATAAAAAAAAAAGAAAAGAAGAACAAGAACAAGAAGAAAAAAACCGAAAGAAGAGCGATAAAAACTAGGAAAGAAACCAAGAAACTATTATCATCATCATCATCATCATCCGTCATATAGATGACAACGAATAATGATTTCAATACTCATTTTCTCTCTCTCTTGATGTATATTCATAGAAGAAAAAAAGGCATATTCTTCTTTCAAAAACAAGAAGAAAACAAATTACATGCTATATTGTGTTAGTTACTACTCACAATTGTAGATTCAACATTTACCTGTCATATTTTATATGCACGAAAAAAATCTCAAATCTATGATAATAAATTAACGTGCATTTGCGTTCATCGGTTGAACAGGTTATGTTTATATAAAATTTATAGATGAATGACACATGTAAAATAAGTTTTCTTTTTCTTTGAACAATACTAAAGCAACGATGCAAAAGGACATTAGATTTCTTCTATCTTCTCTTTTCTTTCTGTCATCATTAACATCCTAAGAATACATGTGTAGTGAAAATCTTCATATGGTGGGAAAAAAGAAGAAGAAGAAAACTTTCAGTTTCTTTTTTTCTTCTTCTATGCATAAAATCGAAATACGAATAATTAAGGATTTCTTTCTTTTGTTACATAAAAATATTATGTTCAATAAGGATTATTACAATTTAACAAGCTATTCAAATAAATTTACTTACTAGTATGCACCAAAAGTCATAATTATTATTACCGTTTTTTATTGCTAGTCAATTCTTTGTATTCAATCAATGAAAGAGACGAAAGGAAAATGAGGAAAGTTTCCTTTTTTTTTAATAAATATTATTATAAAGCTGTAACGAATAAGAAAAAGAACTAAGAAATAAGATTTGTTATATATTTCTAAGATCTCGTCTACTATCCTGTTTTCCTTCAGAAAGAAGGGAAAAGGATGCAACAGTAAAAGAACGTATTTATAACAATGAGAATGCATCATACTGATTGTGGTATGTTGAACCAAGCTGAGCTTTCACGCACACACACTTAAAGTATCAAGAAGAAAAAAAGAAAAAAATAGCGAACTACTACTGAGCTTATTATTTGTCATCGGAAACACGACAGACATACAATATACATTAACGCATAGTTAATTACATTATATCAGCAAACCTCTATATTTTTCTAATTTATTCCAACTATTTGACATATCGATATTCAATTTATCAAAAAGACAAAACTAAGAATTTATTTATGTGAACTATTTCATATATATATAATTATTCATTATTTTTTGAATGACAACTTTATATATCTATGAAGAAAGATTGATTGTATTTTATTAAAATATTCAAGGAAATTTCTCATCATATAATTTAATATTCATGATGATGATGTGTTTAAAAGAGCGATCATATTATTCTTGAGATATTTATAAATTCTCATTGAATGTTTGTTCATCACACCTTCGTTCTTCTTGTGTATATTTACGTCAATACTATGAATATATGTATCGTCTATATATTTAATGCATACAACAAGACAAATCACTCTGACAACACGGTTATCTTGACTTCATCAGTCTGCTATAATGCACTTGAATTAGTTCATTTTTTTTTCAGTGACCTGTGTATATAAGTTAATGGGACTGACAGAAGCGATCGAACGAGCAACAATTATGCATATGTCTGAGTGTGTCCAATGAAACAATAAAAGAGGGAGAGAGAGAGAGAAAGAACTTGCACAAATGTTCCAACTATGTCTTTTTCTTTTTCTTTCTTTATACGTGCGGTTACCTAGCATTCGATGGCATATACACATACGTTATCATCATACGTTTAGGCAGCATAGTTCTTTTTTCTAAGTTGACCAAATATGTTTAAAAAATTAATAAATCGTCAGGAAGATACTCAAGTTAAAATAAGTGATTCAGCATTAAGCGATATAATTCCATCCGATGATGTTATTCTAACAAAAGTAAAAACATTTCAATATATTAATAATTATCGTAAAATACAATTGATATAATTTTCTATAGAAGTCCCAACAGAAACGATGCTTAAACATATGTAAAGTATTAATATTCATATTTATCTTGGGACTTATTGCTATTGGAATTGTTCTATTAGCATTGATTCTTACATGTATGTATAATTAATCCTTTCTTCTATTATAAATAAACGACGAACTAATCAATTATTTATTCAGATTCAGGTAAATCATTTATGAGTTTTATTTTACACTCATCGGCAACTCAATTATTATCAAATAAAACATTACATCAACAAAGTCTGTATCTATATCTTTATATTTATTTTATAATATATTGTCATAGATTTCACTGAATCATCTCACATACAAGATTGGCAAAAAATAGCTGTTCTACCAACAAGTACTCATTATTCTACACAATCGACTGTAAAAACGATTCTAACATCAATTCTTAATCGACAATCAACGAATATACCATTTACAACAATAAAAGATCGAGATTATACTCTAATATCATCGGAAAAAAAGATAAGTACATCAACATTTGTTATTCCAAAAAGTAAGCATTTTTCTTAATATTCGAAAAATATTGTAACTCTTTTTCTAGTTCGAACTTATGAAATAACAACATCGAAAAATCTTCTTACTTCGAAATCTCTAATGAACAAGAATACAAAACAAACGACATTCAATCGATATAAAACAATCGACGATAATGATAATATACTCGATGATCTTTTATTTTCATAATTCAAAAAAAAAATAAAGAACATACTTAATTTGAATAAAAATCATTTTAATATGATATTAAAATAACTCTTTTTCTATTTCTAATTGAATGCAAAATTAAACTATGACATTTTTTGTCCCCGTTTACTGGAAAAATAGAATTTCTTGCTTTACGTCGTTTCCTGTAAGGAAACACGATAAGAATACATTAGCAAATTTGCGGCGTTTCTTTCTTTGTCTACACAAAAAAAATATTATAATAAATACTAATTCTTTTTTTTCTTTCTTCAATAATCAATTGTCTTTTGTTGATATTAAAAACAACAAATTTCCATCTCATTATGCAACTATAAAACAGATTAATTTTTTATAGAATGATTATGCACATAAATCTAATATTTAAGAAAATATGTTTTTTTTCGTGATTATTTTTTTTCAAAAGTACTTCGGTATGATAAAATGTAAAATATGTTATTCACAAGATATAAAGATATGTAAAAAATATGTACGTGCCGATTTGAATGAATATATTTTGTATGATAATTGATACATTATTTTATTGCAATTAAAAAGAATTTATTTTAATAACATAGTATTATTTATTTTACATAATGCGTAGCTTTTGTTGATTATTAATTATTCTTTTTATTAGTATGATTTTATAATTCATATTTATGCACACATAGGAAGTAGTTATTGAAAAAAACATAGTCCAAAGACAAAACATTTGCATAGAATATAGAAAAACATTCTTGACTAGATTTGAGATAGGAATTTTTTTAAACATATTTTATTTATTGTTTTATCCCATAAGCATTCATCATTCGCATTATTCTACTCATCGACAACAGCACCTAACGAGTAAGTTTAAAAAAACAACAGCCTTGACTGTCGATATTATCTGCACTTCGGCTTGTCGACGGGAGAAGATGATTCCGTCATGGTTGTTTGTAATGAATGAGAAGCTGCAGACAGCTTTGCATTGCTCCGTTTTGAAAAGTATAAGGCTGCGTCTTAAATCGCAAGTATAGTCAGTCCTAGGTTGTTTATGCGTTATAAAACAAACAAAGTGTGACGGAATCATGTTTTACGTGGATATTAGATAATTGACAATAGTTTTTCTACAAATAATTAGTTTTTTTATTTATTAATACAAAAAAAAATATTGTAAATGAAGTACATAAGGAAATGTAAAGATTAGTATTGAGATATTTTAATAATATATTAATCAATTAATAACATTGTTTATAGGATTTATAAACATATACTATGTGATTCTTGTTGATCATTATTTCGATTCGTATCATATCAAAGAAAGAAACTTATATGTTTTTTACAGAATTAGATATAGTTGTATGATAATAATAGTATATCCTATAAAAGAATGATGTATACTACTTCGTACATTCGTTTTTTTCGTATTTTAATACACAACGCTGCGTGTTTTATCTTATCTTATTAACAAGACTCCTATCCTTTTCAAAAATAATCGATTAGAAATAATTCGGTCGATTATTTCTGGAGCATCCTGTACTATTGATTATTAATTCAGTATCAGCGACACGGATCATTAGTTTTATTTTATCTTTTTACAGGTGTGTGTGTGTATATTAGTTTTATTTTCTAAGTTTTTTCAAGGATAAATATGTCAACGAATGAAACATCGAAAAAGAAGCAATCAGTAGATAATCAAATTGCTAGTGAAGAATATGAATATGTTACAATACCACCTGATGGGGGTTATGGTTGGGTTATTGCAATTTCTGCTATGGTATTTTTATTTTGAACGTTAATATGTAATTTATTTTGTTTGTCTGTTTAGCTTTGTAATTTAATTTGTGATGGTACTTTATTCGCTTTTGGTAATATGAAAAAGCACCTTCAAGAAAAATTTGAGTGTTCTGATATGGTTATTCTTATGGTTGGAGCTGTGCCATGTGGTATTTATTTATTAGTCGGTATGATTGATTTGTAATAAATTGAAATCTACATATCAATATAAATATATATATACTTTTTATAGGTCCTATTATATCAGGTTTAGCAAATAGATATGGTTGTCGAAGAATTATTATTATTGGAAGTATTGGTGCAGCAAGTTGTACAGCATTATCAACACTTTCACCAAATCCCTATGCAATGATGGTTATTTATGGGCTCTTTGGCGGAATATTTTTTGGCATGATTTATCTTCCGTTCGTAAACTTATTTGATAAGAAATATATATAAGAATTCTTTCATACATTTATTTAGATCAATAGTAATGGTATCATTTTATTTTGATAAAAAACGAGCTATTGCTAATGGTAAAATATTATTTATTAAAATTGACATTTTTAATATTATATTGTTTATAATAGGTTTAGTAACAGCTGGTACAGGTATTGGTATGTTATCATTTGGCCCATTAGCTGATTATTTAATGGATAAACTTGGTTGGCAAATTGGCTTACTTATATTTGCTGGTATACTATTGTCAGGTATTTTATTTGGATTCATGATGAAACCATTACAACAACAAAAAGTACCAATTAAACGAACAGGAATAGAATCACAGTAAGTATTAAATTAACTTCTGTATTACTTTGTTTTTGTTTATATTATTTAATATAGGATTCCAAGTAAAGTTAAATCCGATCGATCAGTAATACTTAACCATGAAATGACTGATGGTACATATGCGGTAAATAGAAACTTTATAGAATATGTTTGTAAGAATAAAAACATTTATCTATTAGCCATTATTAACAACAAATGACGACGTTATTGATCATAGTGATTTGAAGAATGTATCTAGTTTCGAGGTTTCAAATTTGAATATACCATCGAAACAATCTCGAATTCGTACCTTATCAGGAACAAGTCGAACATCAATAGATTCTGCTGGTGGACATCGAATTGGTGTTTTAGATCCAGAAAATGCTACTCGACCATTATATAGAAAAGATGCATTATTTACTGGATCAAAACAACAACTTCACCATCTATCACGTACATCATTAAATTCTAATCCATATATATCATCGAAAGCAGATGTTCCTCCACCAATAACTGAAACCAAGAAAAAACAATCAGCATATGAAGCATTTAAGGATATACTTTCAACAATGACTGATTTTTCTATATTAAAAAATAAACACATGTTATTAATTTGTATTGGAAATATTTTCACTATGTTCGGATATTTATTACCCATTATGTGTTTAATATCCTTTGCAAAGGAAGATTTAGGTGTTAACAAAGACGTTGTTCCATATCTAATAACAGTTTTTGGTAAATATCGATAGAACTTTTTTTGCTTATGAGAAGAACTAGTTAATAATACTATTTAATTTATCTAGGTGCTTGTAATACAATTGGTCGATTTGCTGCAGGACCTATTGCTATGATCCCTCATTTTACTGCCTCACGTGTGCATAATATACTTTTATATATTGCTGGTGCTGCAACGGTTTTAGCTGGATATGCATATGATTTTACAACTTGTGCAATATATGCTGCTATTTGTGGTTTTGCATTTGGTATGAAACACATAGATAAAATAGAAAGAATTTTTAATAATTTGTTTTAGCACCTCATATGGCACTTTTACCAAGTGTAGTATGTGATTCTGTTGGTCTTGATAAATATACAACAGCTTATGGTGTACTAGGTCTTTTTCGTGGTGTTGCATCGATGGTTGGACCACCTGTTGCAGGTTAATATTTTAGTAGAAAAGTTTTTGATTAATTTTATCATCTATTTTATAAATAGGTTTAATAAAAGATCATTATAAAAAATATGATTTAGCATTTACTATTGGCGGTACAATGATAATTATTGGAGCTTTTTTTCATTTTTGTTTATCATTAGTTAAACCAGAACCTAAAGACAATGATGAAAAAGAAGTTCATGTTTAATCTTTTATTTATATTTCATCAATTTTAATATTTTCGTTTATTATTAATGAATAATTTCTTAAAGAAAAATATCATGATTTAATTTTAGAAATAGTCACTCTCTCGTTTTTCTTTCTTTCTTCATATTTGTTTTTTTCTTCGGTAATACTTGATTTGTGTTATTTTTCATTAGATAGCTGCTTGTTATATTCAAGTTATGAAGAAATAAAAATAAGATTTTAATGTAAAAATACAGCATTCGATATATTAAGTGCATCATTGATTGGATTTTTTCTTGAACTTTTTCGATGGAAAGCTTTATGACGTGTACTTGTTATATGCATTTGTGAATCAGTTGTTGGTTGTGTGATTGTTGTTGTTGTGTCAGTTTTTTTTAATAATGAATGACAATTCAAATATGGGGTAAATACTTTTAAAAATTCACGACGAAAACTTTGTCCACTTAATGTATATAAAATAAAGTTCATCGCATGTTTTGTATACCATAATGCTTCACATACATCAACAATTAATTGAACATGTGATGGTGGACCTAAATTAGCATTTTCATTTAAATTATCCTTACGTCCAATTACAATACGTCCAGAATAAATTATCTTATTAACACATATAAATATAACTGATGGACATGTTAATCCAATAAATGCTAAAGTAACTGATAAAAGCATTATTGTTAAACGTTGATGTCGACGATGTGAACGTTTACGATATTGACGCATACGACGATGACTACGCATAGTAAATGTAATGATACCAATATTTGTAAAACAAAGAAGTAAAAATGGAATAGCAACAACAAGTAATATATCAAATATAGGTATATATGTTCGAAAAAATCCTTCAAAACCGGTACTTGGTATACAAACAAATATATATGAAGGTTTATAACGTAATAATTCAGAACGAGAATAATTTATTGAATTATTTAAACTTGCTAATGATGTTTCATTTGTTGATGATAAAATTCGAATTAAAAAACGTCGTTGAACTTGTGCACCAAAACCGTCTAATCTTATTGATCGACCTTTTGAGAAGAATAAAACAAAATCAATTTAGCAATTTTTTCTACATAATTAATTATGAATATATAGCTTTTCTCACTAGTCTGCACGTATTTACCTATTGAACTTATTTATCAAAGTAAGAACTAGAGGCCATGACGAATATTATCTTTGATGAAGTATATACCTCCCACATATTATTTAAAATTAATGATTTTTTCAATCTATTATTAATCATAAGATCTTGTATTAATAGCAGCAGGTTTTCTTTTTGTAATGGAAAAATATTACCATTAATTCTTATCATACCTTGTTTTTTCCTTTTGTGCATTATTTTTAATAACAATCTAATTCCTTATTTATCAAATTAGAAATAATCAACAGAATTCGTGTCGATTCTGTCAATGTTTTTTTCTTATTTTAAATGACAGATGATAAAGTGTTCTTTTTTTTATATATATGAATACCCTCGACAATCTTATGAATGATAGTTTTATAGAACTCCCACGTATTCTTTCCCTTGTGAACTTATTACATCAATGCTAATTTATGTTTTTGTTATTATTTTAATATTCTACGAATCATCATGACATGAAACACCATTTATAATCCTCACATATTTATGCAACATCACATAAAAATCAAAAATATTTATCTCGAGTATAAATAACAAAACTTTCTTAATGTAAGTTTTACATCGTAGAGCTTGAGGTATATACATTTTAAATCTCATAACAAGTCTATTTATAATAAAATTGACCTATGATAAATTGCTAAAGGGTTTCTATTCTTTCACATGATGAACTTAAAAACTATATTTCTCATCATATGCTACATAAATGTTTTTTTCTCCCCGGAAGATTTTATTCTTACCAAGTATAAAGAAATAATAAAGATTGCATAGGGCAACAATAGCAATAAGTGTGCTTGTAGACCAAAATACTCGATTAGTGGTTGAACCCTGTCGTCGATAATAACTTGTTACTATAAAATATCGATCAAAATTGACAATGACCAATGTCCATGATGCCAAATGTGCTAATGCTGATGAAAAAAAAGTTAATATACGACATACCCATTGTGAAGTATTGAATATTGTTGAATCACGAAATAGTTTATATATATGTCGACTTGAACGCATAACAATGAATAAAATATCAATAACAGCAAGTATAGCTAAATATTGGCAGGTTGAATTTTTATTAAATTTTCTACTTAATAATACTCTTAAACATAAGGCATTGCCAATCGTACCCCATATAAGTAAAAAGGGATAAAAAATACGAAAAAGAAAAAATCTTAAATCAATTATAAATGATAATGGTTGTTGATGAGACATATCATCATGATGAAATGTTAAATTTTCAAGAATTGTATTATTCATTATTTGATTAGATCATAATTCTAAAAATAGAAGAAAGCAAAATTAGATTATTTCTTTTTTTCTAATCGAGGTGTTTGTTAATTGATAGGCAAAGATATACAAATGAAAAAACTACGGATATCCGCTACATTTTATTTTTTTTTCCTTCTAATAAAATCGAATGTGAATAAGTAAGAGGCAAAAAATGAATTAAGAATAAACAAAACCAAAACGCTTTATAATGAATAGAAGACAAATCAATTGTTTGATCTAGGTGTCTGTTTTTAGAACAAATTATTCTAATATTTCGAAAAAAAAGAACATTTATTCTTTGTTGACTGACATTTGGTTTAGAATACACAAGAGAACATAATAAAACTTAGAAATTATAGTAATATTTATTTTTACTTACTTATACTAGATATTAAATACTGTTATGTAAAAATATTTTGATTAGTTCTCGTGATTGTCTTAACACTTTGAGAATGAGACGCGTATATTCACGCATCCGGTTTTAGATGAATGTAACAAAATCGAGTCTCTTCTGTAATGAATCTATTCTTTTCAACTTCTATATTTTTTTCTCAAAGTGATTTCGTCTCTAGTAAGAAGAGAAGTGAATTATTCGAGACTAAAAAAGTATTTACATAAACAATCTCTAGCTAATATCCCACGCGGAATTTCTGCTTCATAAACAATATGATTAATTTACAAGGAAAAAGAACGATGTTTTCACTTTCGGGAAAAGAACTATTGATTATAGAGAATATTTGTTGTTCATGATTGACAAAGATATAATATCAACATGAAAAACTAAATTAATAAAAAACTTACTGATTTGAATAGATGATAAAATTTTGTCTTTCGTATTGTGTGATAAAGAAAGTCTTAATGCTAGTTAAAAGAAAGCAAAGAGAAACGATGAGACTAGAGAAAGAAGAAAAAAATGGAAAAAACACGAAGAAAAAATAGACGATATAAAAGAAAAAAGGAAAATAAAAGAAGAAGTAGATATATAATGAAATTTTATGTGACAATCATAGAAGAACGCGATAATTTAAGTTAATCATTACAACGAATATTGATAAACGATTTTTCAATTTGCATAATTTTTGTTTCAATAAATTAGATTTATATACTTTTAACTTAATGATTTATCTTTTTGAAAAAAAACATATTTACATAAATTTATAGACTGATAGATCTTGAATCGATTTTTTTTCTAGGTACTAACATATATACAAAAACAAAAGTAATATACCAATTGAAGCTTGCATGCGAAACTAGTTCAAATATACTTTTGTCAGCTAATAGAAACGTGCATTGCTAATAGAATTTCTAAAATATGTCTATTGGATATACATGATGAGCATGATATTTTTTTTAACTGAGAAATCATATATATATATATCATCGAAAGGACTCTGTTGATCCCCCTTTCTTTTTGTTCTTTGTACTTGTAAAATAAATGAAAACATTTAAATGTAAGAAAAGAGAACGCTTGATGATTTTAACATTAATTTTGTTGTTAGCAATGTAATTAGTCGTAATAAATATGTCATGCATATAATATATAAGAATTTTATCAACTGTAAAAAAAACTGAGAACATACTACTAAACCGCTGGTAAACTAATATGGAATAATCAATATTTGCGATGTTGTTTGCACACTATTCTACAATAATAATTGTTCAGATGCAAGCAAATTAATTTTCATGTGAAATAAAATAAGATTTTAGAACAAAAAAATGCAAGAATAATTAATGAAATCAGATTTTTATTTCAGCTTATTTAACAGGCAACTCATTATACACACACTATATTATAACATCATTGATTGTAAAATATATTTTGTCATACTGTCAGTAACATTCAATGTCAATTGAATCATGCTAATACACCTACATCCTCTTAATTAATTACCAGATATACATATATATATGTTGTTGTTGTATTCCCTTTTACAACAGATAATAGTTTATTTTTATAAATATATGATTAAAAACAAAACAATAGCTTATAATAACGTAAATAAAAAGCTACTTTAAAAACAAATAAATTTTTATAACATAGTTATCATCCTTTTCAATATAAATGGCTTACAATCATTCTCAGTTAAACAATATCAAAAACAAAATGATATATCTATCTATCTATGTTGTTTTACCAATTTCAAATTTTTTAAATAATTCACTTGCTGTAAATATAAGTGAATCAATTATACTAGCAACTGTAAATGAACCACCAACAACAGCACATATTGACGTTATAAATGTATAAAATTTTTGTCGATGTTCAGTATATTTAACAGTAATTGGCTACAAAGAAAAAATATTCAAATTTAATTAAACTAAATATCATATGATTTATTTTTTACTATTAAATCATAACGAAACCATATAGCAGGTATCATACCACCTCCATGAGGTTGATATGGATTATATTCCTAAATAGAGAAATAAATAAAAAATAGTAATTATATTCTATATGTCAACGAGAAGATTATTTTGATAGGAATCTTACTGAATTCTATAGTAATTAAGTTCAGATAAGATAAGTTAATCCGTGCATGATTTTATCTTACAAAATAGAATTCTACAAAGAAAGTAGATAAAGACATTGTATGTTATTATACGCAATCGACATTAAGAAAAGGAAATGAGATAGAATCGTCATTTAAAATAAGAAGTTTTTTATGAAATTAATCGAAACCTATTTCCCATAAATCTCGTTAAAAAACGTTTGTCATTGTATGTAATATTTTTGTTCTTTTTCTATTTCCTTGTTTAATTAATTACAGAGTTTTGATATTAACAAAAAAAGAAAGGACATTAGCTATTTAATTAGTTTTTAGTTCAAACTATATGTTCTCATATGTAAGATTTGTACTAAAAAGTGAAAAAGTTATTTATATCCAAGTTCCTAATACTAATATTTGAGAATAATATGCCCTAGATTTCAGATTTTTAATTTTATTATTACTTATTTGTTTGTAGACGCTATGAATATTTGATTCTTTTGTTAGAACTAACAGAATATAAGAAGAAAAGAAGATGAAAATCTAATTTTATTCCTTGCATGTTGATATTAAAGAGAAATAAAAGATTGTATGGTAAATAAAGAGATTAGATAGTTCTTAAAGTTATTTTTGATATCTATATTACAACGTCACATTATCTATTGCGAATAATAGAAAAAATAATTAAAAAAAAATATATATATATATATATATGCGCATTCTTGATCGATGAAAATAAGAATAATTATTCATACCTATAAAATAGTTTAAGGCATATAAATTCTAATGATTCTAAATAATATATAATTCAACAAAATATTCAATCAGTGCAGGGGTGGAAAAAAATATTTTGATAGGGGGCACTGCTATATTCTGGAATAGAGTTAATGATGAATTTTATATCAATTGAAAGCCCGTAAAAAATGGGATTTATTAGTACTAAATAATAAGAGTTATAATTCATTTTTGCTGGATTATAAGACGAAGAAAAATTAAGAAGAGTACTGTTCTAGTGATCATAAGATGCAGCAAAGAATTTTGTATCACATTTAGGTCGAACTTGATCTTATCAATAACGTTTCTCACGCTTATGATCAACTAAGTTTAAACATCTCAACATACAAAAGTTTCTATAACCCTTATTGTTTAGTATCAATAAACCCCATTTTTATACGGGCTTTCATTCGGTATAACACTCATTATTAACCATATCTGAACGTATGACAGTAGCGCCCCTTCCCCTATCAAAATATTTTTTCGAACCTAGTATATATATAAGTGACAAAAATTTGAATTATTATCATAAGCGGAGGAATGTCCGTCTACAAATTGAAGAACCGAATGCATCACAAAAAAAGTTTATCATAGTGTGCAAAATAACGCACCGAAAGAAGTAATTTCGATTTTGGGAACAGTATTATACGAATAATGAGACTTGCGGAAAATACTATAGGAATAGAACGAATACTAACTCGATAGAAAAATGTAAATTGATATGGATAACGACGAACACTACCAAGATCTTCATAAATAGTTGGTACAATTTTTAATAAATAATCATGTGATGCATGACTTGGACGATTTGTATTATTAAAACGTCTTAATGGATGGAATGCTTTTCGATTTGGAATTTGTCGAAAACCCTATTGATTATAAAAATTCTTTAAAAGAAAATGATGATGAAAAACAAAATAACAAACTTTAATTGTATCACCAAATGTTAATTCATGTATAACATGTTTCATATCACCATCGGCAGGTTGACTACTTGCTGAATGTGTTGAAATATGAAAATTACCTGGTACACGATTGATTTTAAATGAAGCATTTATACGACAACCAGCACCATTATTTTCTGGTGTTTTCAAAGTATTATCAATAAATCCAACTTCATGACGACCAAGATCATCTTGTATATCAATACCCACATCTATCAATCAATTTTCTATGATATAAAAGAAAATAAATCAAAGCATTTTTTCTTACATTGACATCCGATATTTAATACAGTAATATCAATATGTACTGGTATACGATCAGCATGGCCACTATCTGGTATATCAACAAATAATTCACTTGCACTAATTAAATAATAAATTTTGATTTTAATAGAAAAATAAAAAGAATGATTTATTTACACTTCAGGTGTAATAAAATAATAAAGTTCAATAAGAAGTAATGTTGATATAAATGATATACAAGCAAGAGATATTGCTGCACCGGTATTAGTTGGTTGAGTTAGATCTTTTGGAATTTTTCGATAAATATCGAAACTAGTAAAATAAAAAAAAATTGAGTTTTGATAATGATTTTTCATTGTTTTTATTTACCGTCGAATATCAAATTGCATTTTTAATGCTCAGATCTAAAAAAAAAGAAGATAAGATAAAATATTCAATAGTTCTGTAAATAACATAATATTATCGATCAATCCCTTTAGATTACACAGCATTTCATTGTATTAAAAAGTAAAAATTCAAACAATGAAATGAATGTATGTGTACTTTAGGTAAAATTCTCAGGCTTCTATCGTGTTAAATCCACATTGATCTTAAGCAAGCAAATAGTGAAAAGACTATTCAAGGCTATCATTGGTTCATAGTATTATTAACATGAACTAGATGTCGACAGTATTCAACTTCATATACGTATATCGATTCGATATAAAATACAAAAACAGATCGTTGGTTTATAAAGAAGATTATTCGTTTCTGAATGGATAGAATACTTACAATCGATGGTCGCCAGATGTGTTCTGAGGATTTCAATGAAAATAATGTAAGATTGTTAAGTCAGGTACATTTGCTTTATGTATTCCCTGCTTGAAACATTTTTTCTCTGTGGTAAACTAAGTGATTCATTATACTCATTCATGAAACAACTGGTGTTCTTTAAAAAAAAACCTTTCCGCAACATATGGCCATGGTTTGCGTGTTACCAAACAAAGCATCTTCAAAAAGAAAAAAGCTTTTTTTGCGACAATAGTTTCATTATTTTGAGTATACATAAAATATTAAACTAATGTTTTCTTTTGTATCATTCGTAGCAAAACAAAACAACAAAGGCTATTATGTAGGACTATTTGCTACTTATAGAAAAATATATCACATCGTCATTGACGAAACAATCCATATAGTGAATCGTATGTATGAAATTTTTCATACCTGACTTAACAGCCCTACGTTACTTTCATTGAAATTTGTTTATTATTGAAGAAATACTTCATAATTATTGCTGTTATGCTATAATTACCATTTTAGAAATATGAATGACAAAAATGAAGGATTTAATAATAGAAAAAGACTATACATTCATTATAACTTCAAGGCTATGCGTAGTTATTCAGTTAAAATAATATGCATTTGTCCTGTAAATAAATTGATATTATATTCATTTCAAAAATCGACTTTTATATTTAAAATGAAACTAAACAAAAACAAACAAAATTTCCTAACGTTTTAAATATTCATCGAGTTTATGGCCAGCTTCTAATTGTCGTTCAATTTCAACTAATTTTTTAACACCATTAAGAATATGTTGAATAATTTCAACCTAAAATTCAAAAACAAAAAATAATTTTTTTTAATAAATCAAAAAAACAACAAACTTCAGTTTTGCCAATTCGATCACGATTTGATATATCTATACAATCTTTAAATGCTTGTGGATCTGAATCCATGATTTCTTCCATTGTTAAATTAAGATCTTTGATAATAGTTGGTAAACGCATATCTTTTGTTAAATTTGGTAGCTTCAAAAAAATATTATATTTTAATCCAGTACCAATATTAGCTGGACAAGTTGTTAAATATCCAAAATGATCATCATGTGCAAATGATATACCTTCATTTTTCATTGAATTTTCTAACAAGTTTATTCCTTGAAAAAAATTTGTTATGACTGCACGAAGATTATTTTTTGCATTATTTGTACTCCAACTAACAAATCTTAAATGATCTTTTTGATTAATCCAAGCAAATATATTCTTATCATTATTAACATAAATAGCTCGTCCATCAGGCCAATCACGTGCAATACCTGAACTAAGCCAACTCATTGTTTGTGGTTTAAATAAATAGACACCATCCTAAATAAAATATAGTAATAAAGAAATGTTAAATTCAATGATTGAAAAGATAGTTTCGATTTAGTTTGGATCGTACCGGGGAATATTATTCTCTTACATGGATTAATTTTTCTTGTACACGTTCGTCAGTTGTTGATAGACGATAATAATTTCCATTGAATTGATTATTTTCTTGAATTAATTGTTCAAATACTTTATTTAATTTTCCTTCAACACGACGACGTTCAGCTCGTGTTGAAAATGTTGGAAATGTATAACTTGCTAGATTACGTGTTATACGTATACGTGATGAAAGAATATATTTATTTATATCAAATGTAGTATCCGATTCAAATGGAAAATTAAGTTTAGTTATATCTACATCATGGTATTGACGTGAACCGGGTCCATAATTATATCGTATTTGAATTAATGGATCGAATAGATCACTAAACATCTATTAAAATTGAAACAAAAAAGTCTATTTTTGAATAATATAAAAGAAAGAAAATACTTTATATGTTTCTTCGTCACCAGCTGAAACACCAAAATATTGACGACTAGGTACACCTGGATTATCAACACCCACTTGTATTACATCATCAATAGTATATCCAGATGGTGTAATACGATCACGAAGTTTAGCATACATCTATAATTCGAATATTTATAGTATTCGAATTTAATTTTTTTGCCAATATCTAACCTGTGGTGTTAATTGACGAGCCATTAAATTTGAATGTTTACTTAATTGAGGATATTCAGCTGATGCAGAATATCGTTTTAAATGTAAACTATATGAACTAGCATAATGTTGATTATGCCATAGATATCCAGCAGTAGTTAAACCAACAGATGAAACAATAGCAGCTAATTTCCATTTCTGTTGATTATTACCAAAATAAAGAAAAGAACGAAAGAAGTTTGAGTAACTAGGCATATCTAAAATTCAATTGTATTGTCATTTAGTTATAGATATTGTTTGTAATTAATCAGATTTTTCTCTATCGAATAGAAATTATAATTAAATTTATATTCTGTGTTATAAATCAATGATTTCTTTAAATTGACATCGTCAAATTTTATTCAATACATATTTAAGTAAGAGACGATCTCAAAATATCGAATAGATCATGGAAGATTTCCATAGACTAAAATCGAGTCTCTCAATCAGACAAATTGAAGAATGTTTCGAAAGATGTCAGACATGTATAAAACTTATACATTTATATTCTGTTATTCTTGTGTAATCTATAAAATCTTGAAAGACCTATTATTCATATATTTTCTTTTTTGCTAAATAATAAATATCATCAAAGTTCATTTGTTATATACGCGACAACAATTTTATGTATAAAAAAAGAATGAGTCTATATATATATATATATCACTTAAATATTTGATTCTTCATGTAATGTTTTCCATTGATTAAGATTTTCGATGGGTGAATAAATTATAATTCGAATTAATGTGACGATACCAAAAACAATGGCTCCAAATAAAACAAGACCAATTAAAGTTATACCAATGATAAGTACTATTTTAATGAATTGTTGAATTTTTAATTGTTGTTCCAAATTTGAACTGAAATAATAAAATTTATTGATTAGATGCTATTTTAAAAGAAGAACTTACTCAAAAAATGGCTGATTTTCTCGAATATTATTTGAATATTTTTTAGTTTGTAGAGATTGATGATTTCTAAAGTTAAAATCATGCATACTTTTTTGTTAGAGAATATTTAGGAAATATATACATACCGATGAAAATTTAATTTTTTAGTATATGGTATATGTGTTGTTTCATCGAATATAATTTTTCTTGAAAATGATAAATAGAAATAATAACTATTAAATTATTTATTCACTTACGAAATACGATCATGTGAACTTTGCTTTACTATTTCGTTGATATAAACTTCTTCAGTTGTTAGTTCTTGTATACCTTTAATCTCACAATATTCTCCTTGATCTTGATTCGAACATATACATTTAAAACCTTTTTCGATTGTAGGATCATCAACACATTGTCCTTCATTTTTACATAGGGTTGAATCAAATGTACAAGGTCCTAATTGAATTTAATATTTTATCGATTAATAAATAGTTGTTAAATACCTTTTTCACAAGCTGTTGTCAATGCATTATAAATAAAACCAGATTGGCATCGCATTGGAATACTTCGACCTTCATTTCCACATATGATATACATATCAAAACGATTTATCACAGGTAAATAAGTTCCAGATGGATGATCACGACAGATTTTATCTGATAAAATTAATAAATTATAAGGTCGTGATTCATATTAAAGATTTACCAGACTTATCTCTCGGTTTTATGAATGGTTCATATTGACAATCCACCTAGAATGAATTATATTTTAGGTTCTATGTATATTTATTGATTTATTATACTAATTCAGGAGCTGAACACATGAATGTTTTTGGATCAAAATGAAGTTGATTTGGACATTTATATATTTCATGATGTTTATGTTTACGACAATAATGAAATAAAGAACAATCGAGTATATCAGCATAGATTCCAATTTGAGTACATTGTGATACAGATGATTTTCGTCGATAATAAGAATTATAATCTATTAAAAAGAAATCAAGATGATTTTTATTATTAATTCATTGATTTATATTTACCTCCAACAGTTTCAATAAATGCAAAACGATTTGTATCCATCATTTTTTGAAGAATGATTTCACATTTAACTTCGTTTTCCTAATAATCGAAGAAATAGAAAAAATCGAAAGTGATCATCAATGACTTACAATGAGAATAGGTTGACATTGACCGTTACTAGGATTGAAAAAGAATCCATCAATACATGTATAAATAGTATGACTATTGAGAGTACACATATGAAAGAGTGAACAATTTGTTGAATGAGCATAGAGTCCATTTTCAACTGGACATTCTTGAAAATTCGGATCATCATTTGATATAATCAATGGAATTGGAAAAATACTTCCTATTAATTATAGTTCAAGAAATAAAAGACAATTACTTTTTTGCTCTTACCATAGTTTGATTGAGATAATAAATTATTAAATTGTAATAAAATAATGCAAATAGTAATAATAAGTGTATACATCCTCTATTTCATATGTCTATATGAATTAAAAAATTGCAACAACGAAATAAATAGTAGTATTGGTCGCGCTTGGTTTACTCGCATACAATTAGTTGTCCTTTCATACATAATGCAATGTCTCGGTACAATATTTTTATTTATACAATCTCAATAAAGTGTACTTTATCATCGATCTAAAGTTCAACTGTTTAATTGCTTGATAGTGTACTTATTCTCTTTCTTCTTTCTTTATGTTGCATACACATGAATATTTGACAAACAAATTCATATTAGAAGCTAGTCGATTTATATTAGATTGAATAATTCAATTGGGATGATTTTATGCTTGTAAAAATTCTGGTTGTTAATCTTATCAACTACATTAAGATTACGTTAAAATACGCCTATGTAATATTATTGATAATGTTTCATCCGTAGCGTCTCATCCATATTATTTGTCTATCGTATTCTTCGTTCTCCTCTCTTACTATTTATACTACTACATTTTTTTATGAATAAGAGACAAGAGAAAGATAGAATAGATGAACAAGAAAAAAAAATTTCAACATTGACTATAGTATTTGTAATTAGTATTTAATAAGCTCAATGTATGACAACACATAAGAGTAATTAAGCCGAAGAGCTAACATAGACAGATAATACTTGTATTAAGACAAGTTCATGAAACAAATATTCATTGAATTAATTCATATTTAGAAATTGTTTATAACCGAGCATTTATTTTCAGAAGACATATAAATGGTCAGACTCTTCTACACAATTATTCAGTACCTGTTCAGTGTTTTTCGGTGCTGCGTGCCAACTCTTATTTCCTCGGAATAATATGTATACAATGAAGTGAATGTCATTGTACGTATTACAACAAACTTAATCAATAGATACGATGAAAATTGATGTAACTGAAACATTAGTTAAGTATACTTAAATTTTGAAGGAAGGATGTATCGTGCTCATTTGTCTTTAATTCTTCTCACATTCAAAAAGGACAATATTTCACACATAAAAATAGGCAAAGATAAGATTTTTAATAGATGAATACTAGATCCATGCTTTTTAGTTATATAGAAATAGCAGATATATTTTATAATAAAAAACGTGATTCTATTAAATAGATATTTCGTATTTCGGTCATAATATAATTTTGTATTTCTAAAATTTATACTAATATTTTTAAGTTAACTTTATACAGTTAAGAAATTTATGTAGAGATGTTCTAATACCAAGTATTGTTGACAGATCACAGCCAGTAATCGATGCCTCCTACAGTTCACCACTCCCATGAGTGAGTGTATAGATCCGGCATGATCGATTTCGTTCTTTGCCCAAAAAAAGAACTCACCAGATAGTTTCAGAAGAAACTTTTAAACTCAACTCAATTCATTTTAATTATCTTTTAGTTTTATACAATAACATTAATTCATCATCGCTCATACAAATTCATCGTTTAGATCTTGAGGGTGTGGGCGTGGGTGGGTGCCTCTGTCTTGCTTATTCATCACCTTTAATCACACCCACACCCACCCTAAATTCATATAAAATATTTATCTCAATAATAATTTACTTGAAAGATCTTTTCAGACAAAAGACATTTTTTTACATTTCAACGTATTCTTAACAAATTAATCTGAAAATATTCAAAAAACTAGATTTTGGAACTAATTTCATTGTACAACTTAATCGTTTCTATTCAATGTTTATCATATTCAATCAATTTTTATCGAACAAAAAAATATTTTTTATTATTCTATCATTTCTTTATAATGATTCTAATCAGTGGCGTAAATAGGAGGGGGGGGGGCGCGTGGGGCGCATAACCCCCCCTGCTTCTAGAAAATTCACTTTTTTTGACCATTAAAATAGAAAAATTAGGCTTACGCCCCTCCCTTCACCCCTCTGCTCCGACACCTGACTTACGCCCCTGATTCTAATGAAACCTTTTTCTTAAGAAATTCTATTTTGATTTGTCAATATGAATTAAGAAGTAATAAAAGCCCCTTCAAATTGTTTTTATTTTCATTAAACTTCAATCAAAAACGATTTGGAGAAAAAGCTTATTGTTTAGAGATTAAAACAACGAATATGTTGCATTTGTTGATTTGAAGGAAATGAGTTGAATATTTATTTCAATCTCTATGTAAAATATATACTCCTGTGGAGTTTTTGGTGTAACCCACGCACGCTAAAAATAAAAAAATAAAAATCATGTAGATGTTTCAAAAATTAATTTATTACCTTAAAACTGCAGTTGTTTTTATAACACTTGATGAGATAAAAGCTAAGTAATATGAAAAAAATGCAGCTCCTAATAATGATGGTATAATTATTCTCACACCTTTAATGTAATCATTGATGGTCTTTGCCATTGTTTCTGCTCTTTGAAGAATTACTGAAATCGTTGTTGGTATCGTGATGGTAGGTATGGTAGTCATTGAGATGTTTTTAGTGGTATTCGATTCCAAAGATAATTCAAAATGTACGTAGTCTTCATAATTGCTATATGTCTAGCACAAAAAAGTAATTTACTATTTTTAATCAATATAAGTGTAACTATGAAAAATAACTTACAGGTGTTGAAATTGTGTAAGTAAAAAAACTAACGAAAAATATGAATAAGAACATTATAAATTTAGAAATTTATTGTGTAAAAATGTATATGAGTTTCAAGTTATATATATTTTTTCAGTTAGACAAATAGATAATTAATTAGTTTGTGTTTGTTTATCAATGTAACATATTCATGCTTATATTTTTCAAAGAGCAAAAAATTTACAAGTTATATGAATTTATTCTTTGTTGTTTTAGTGCCCGCTTTAATTTGTTTCTAAAAAGAACAATCTTGCTTCATTGAGAAGAAAAAAGAAAAGCAATGTCATATACATTTTATTTATATGATTATTATAAAAATATATTGTTATTAAAAATATCATGGATATTCGTTAAGATATAGTTGATCTTTATTTTGTATAATTTTTATTAAATCTTATATTCATTAGTTGTCTTTTTAGTGATCAATTTTAATTCTATGTATATGATTATTATAACAATAGGGTGTGGGTGTGGGTGTTCGATACAAATATATTATTTACACCTATAATCGTATCCACACGCTCGATAATATTTAATAAAAAAAGTAGTTTTAATATCAAAGACATTTCTAAATATTAGAGATCTGTTGAACAAGTTAATTATGTTCTGTGGTATAGTTACTTAAATATAATACTGGTTTCAGAAGTTAGTATCAAAAAATAAAAAAGAGCTTACGACACT